CTGGCATTGGAAGAAAGGGAAGTCATCTCCTCAATAGCAGAGATCAACATAAAGAGCTGAGAAAACACCAGAGGGAAGAGAGGAAGTGGAACCATCAAGGGTAACAAGAAAAAAAAAAAAAAAAAAAAAAAAAGAGTAATGCTTAGAACACTACCCTAGGAAACACTTCTGAATAGGGAGGGAAAAAAAGGAAGGGAAAGAGAGATAAAGTATCCCTTTGAAGGAATGAGAGAGAAAGTTAGAAGAGAAGGGCGGGAAATTGCCACGAAGGCCAAAAGAATGAAGCTGGGACAAAATACTGTACCTCCAGGTGGTATCATAAATGTATTTTATGTCAAAATGAACAGCAACCACAGAAGACCTTGCAGCAAAGGCAGAACGAAAGTAAACCTCAAAACTCCACTAAATTCTCAGTACTGCAACACTAAAGCCAAATTAAGAGGAAAAGGACACAATAGTGTTCTAAGACAAACATTGACCACATGCTCAAAAAGTTTGCAGATGCAACTCATCAGGGCAATGGATGAAAGTCTTTAGGGGAATATCCATAATACCAGGTTTTTGAAAAGGAAGAACAACCGCCACAAGCCACTCCTCTGGGACAGACGATGTATCCCAAGCATGAATATAAATACCCAGCCAATACTGAAAAGAACCCTGTGGAAGATGGTGAAGCATCTCATAATGAATGTTATCTGAGCCCACTGTAGTAAAACCAGAGGGACAGGGTAGACTGGAGTTCCGAGGGAAGACATCATTATGAGGGAGTTGGAGAAGAGTGCAAAAGAGCAAGATACACAAAGTAAGTAAATATCAAAAGAAGGCACCAAATCGGGAAGGCAATGTAGCACCATCAAATGTGCGGAATAATCAGAGGGCGCTAAATATCACCAAGGACGCCAATACGAGAACAGAAATGGGTGAGGTGAACGATATCAAAAGTATCCGATTCACCAAGAAGTCTAGGGAGGGACAAGTGACAGCGAGGTCCTTTCTGACGAGCGTGTCAGAAAGCAAGACACACGCTCGTCCTGGAAGTCAGGACAATCAACAAGGATATGCACGACTGTAAGAGAGAGAATGCAATTCGGACTATAAGGAGGTGGGTGGCGCTCCATTAAGTGACCGTGAGTTAAGCGAGCATGGCCAAGACACAACCTTGCTAGAGTCGCTTCCCAACACCGGTTACAGTGGCAGGAGGAAGGCCACAGGGGACACAATTCTTAAGAGTACGCAGTTTGTTACCAACAACAGAAGACCAATAACCCTGCCAACGGGAAAGGACGGAGGAATGAATAACCGGGTAAAAGACGGAATAAGGAATACCTTCACGGGAGATGGGACAAGAACAGATAGCTTCCCAAGCGGCAGCATCTGCACACACATTTAAAGAAACACCAATATGGCTGGGAACCCAGCAAAACTCTACGGATTTAAATTTACTAGAGATAAGAAACAGCCAATGTTAAATCTCCATGACTACCGGATGGACAGGATTAAAGGACCTGAGAGCCATGAGGGCACTATGAGTGTCAACTACAATCACAAAGGAGGATTGACAACGAGAAAGCAGGAGACTGAGAGAAGAAAGAATAGCATAAAGTTCCGCTGTGAAGATGCTAGTCTCTGAAGGGAGGCGACACACACAATTGTGGTCATAAAAAAAACAGTAGCCAACACCATCCACAGACTTAGACCCATCGGTGAAGATGGAAATGGAGCAGGAGTGTGAAGAAAAGTGCTCAAGGAAAAGGCGTTTCAGAACTCTAGGAGGGGTAAAAGCTTTAGTGATCCGGGTCAGGGAAGTACAAAAATTTTAGAAGGGGGACTCTCCATGGGGGGCAAGGAAGGAACAATACGAGGAGACACATTACAAATACAAATGGAAAGAGTCCTGTAAGCGAGACAGCCGGTGAAGAGGAACAGGAGCTACAGGAGGGGTAAGAGTCAAAGCACGACAGAGGCGAGAGGAACGATGTTGCAAGGACCGTGCCAAATAATGAAGACAATAGCGATCATGGGGGTCCTGGAGAGATATGAAGCCAGTGTCAACATACAAGCTGAGGGCAGGAGTCGAACGAAAGGCACCAGAGCTGAGGCACAACCCAGCATGGTGCAAAGCATCAAGATGGCGAAAAGCAGGAGGAGGAGCAGACGAGTAAGCAGGGCAACCACAATCGAGTTTAGACAGGATGAGAGAGGAGCGTGCGTCTATTTGCCCCCCCCCCCCCCACCCAAGAAATATGGGACAAAACCTTAAGGAGGGCAAGGACCTTATAGCATTCAGCTCAGAGGTAAGCGATATGGGGCAACCAAGACAAACGAGTGTCAAAGATTAACCCCAAAAACTTAGCGGAATCCCTGTACACAAGGGGATGACCATAAAGTGACAAAGAAGGACGAAGAATGACATGCTTCCGAGTAAAAGTCATAACACAAGTCTTAGACGTAGAGAACTTGAAGCCATGATCGGTGGCCCAAGACGACACGGCATCAATCACATTGACATGAATAAGCTCACCAGAATTCAGGAGAAAGAAGAGAGGGACAAGAGGTTCAACAAGACAGCCTCGGGTATTTGTACGGATATCACCCCGGGGGGGGGGGGGGGGGGGAATATCAAGTAAAAATCACCTAAAAGGAGAACAGCCTTCAGCAAAAAGTCTCAAAGGCACTTAAGATCAGGAAGAGGAATAGGAACATATGGAGGGAGGTAAATTGAAAAAAAATGGTATATAATTTATTCACAAAGACACAAGTGGTAGCGGAATAAACATTTGAAAAAGGGGGACAAAAATCGATCATTCCAGATTAATAGAGCAGTCGAGTTAAGGTTACCATAAAAAGCTGGAGGGGAGGAGAGAAAGGAATAACCATGGAATTGACCAGGACGACTACCAAGCAATGGTTAATACACACACACAGATGAAAACTGCAAGATCAAAAGATGCTGTTCTTTAAAATTAGTATAAAAGCCAGTGAGGAACGGCTATATCAAATAGACAAAATAAATTAGAGGAACGAGCCAAAGGGTACAACTAGACAAGATCAGAGAAATCCGGGTTGAAAGCACAAGTCAGCAGAGTTGATTGACGCCAAGAAGGCTGCGATAAGGAGCACAGACGAGTCAACAGGGTCCGTTGAGGAACAAGACACTGGGAAGAAGTGGTCATGGGACTCAGGCTGAGTACAGACCGTAACAGCAGCATGCTCAGGGGCAACATCAGAGCTAGAAGGACAACAGGAACTCCTATAGCAAGCTCCAATGGCCCCCCCCACTATTGACACGAGTGAAGCTGCAGCAACAAGAACAGGGGGGGATGGAGTGGGGCAAGGACTAACTCTTCCCCACTGCGGAGTATTACTAAAAACTAAACACTCGTAATGCTGACATTTTCTATACATTGGCCTCGAAGGTTAGATGGGTTGCTTTGGTTTGTACATTTCTGGTTGGCCAAAACACCCATTTTTTTTACAGGCTGACAAACCAAGAAAATGGGCTACCCAATCAAAGCAGAAGCAAGATTTTGCTGTACTGCGTAAGTGAAGATGGGAGGAAGAATAGAGAAATAAGTGATCTGATTAACACTTTCGCGCTAACCGGACTCACTGACGAGTCCTGTTTCGTCTAACGCTACCGCATAGTGGACATAAAGTTATGTCCTCTTAAAATATTTGTATAAAATTCAATTTTTATCCGATTTACTTTGGGTTTGTTTCAAACTGCGTGCCATGAGGCTCTCTTTCTCACCACTAGGCTGCATGCTACAATAAGTTCATGAAAGGTGTGGACCACTTCGATCAAATGGTATTATGTCCCAAACGGGTTGCAGGTGGGTGACTTTAGCCGTTTATACTGGTAATGCTTCCCCCATAGCATGTATTATATGCATATGTCTGTTTAGGGAATTTTATTCCGATCAATGTACAACCAAAAATAACTGTCTGCAACAAGTATAAACTTGACAAACATAACAAAAGTAAAAACATTTCGTGTGTGTTTGACGCTCACTGATATGTTCCAGCGTTGTTTTATATTTGGCGCTATTCTATCTTACGCTTTGTTGATCTTTTTTACCTATGGGCTCATAGAACATTCTATTGCGAACACATTGACACAAAAATGAATGACGTACATAGAAAATTAATGTCATGAGAGTGAAATAAGTATAAACTTTCAAAGCGCCGTGCGTCGTCCCGTCACCGATACCGGGTAACAATTTCAACACTTCCCACACTCTTGCGGGCGGGCCGCATCATTATTCTACGCTTATATTCATATCACCGTGTTGGGAATTTCATTGCGAGTCCATTGATACCAAAATTAACGCTGTAGAACAAGTGTGGAGGTGATAACAATCCCAAGAGTAAAAACATTTTGTTGCTGTTGGGCGCTCACGGCGAGTCATCTTCGTAGTTATTTATTTGGTGCTGGTATCCCTATACGTTTCGTGACCTTTTTTTACTGATGTTCTTCTAGAGAATTTTATTGCGAACACGTTGGTACCAAAATGAAATACGTAGCTCAAGAACTAAGGTCAGGAGAGTAAAGAGAGTATACACTTTTATTTTTACGCTTACGCGGCAAAACGCCGTGAACACTTACGGTTGGCTGCCTGACCTTCGCGGAGAGCGCGAAAGTGTTAAATATTAAAGATAGGTAAACGCTCAACACGGAGGAACCGGGAATCTTACAGAGGAAGTTGTAAGCCTAGGAAAACATCTAATAGTTAAATATTTACTTGACATCTACATACCATTTAATGGATTTATTTCACATCACAATTATCTAAAAATGCTAAAAGCTTTAAAAACAGTACACCTCACAACTCCTGAAAGATGTATGTATGTATGTATGTATGTTAAAGTGAAATACTAAATGTTGGAACAAAGTATCTTTGATATCGTTACAAAATCCTGCCAATCTCTAGAACCAATACATATTAAGTACATAAAGGCACTTAAGTAAGTGCCTTACCTTTGCAAGTTCACCTTGCAAAGGTAAGTTCATCTTTGTAAGTTCAACATTCATAGAATTATAATTGCGCAAAAAAATAATTTACCAACATAAAATATTGGAGGCGAGGCAAATATTGCTTCATTACCTCCGTCAACGGCTGTAAACAAAGTAACTGCAATTATTACGCTTCTAATGCAAACAAAATGCTTATATACTTTGATGACCAAATACTTTTATTCCCTTTCCAGTCAATTCAAATATATGGTATATATATTTATATATATATATATATTCTTAGAAAATTTTCATCTTCAAGAATAATAAAAAGCAATAGAAGGAAATATCAAAGAAATTCTTTTAGAAATGAAGATTTCTAGCAAAACAAGTCCCAATTTTATCTAGATACAGTATATACATAACTTAAGTCACTTTTTAAAAAAAATATTAATACTGTATAATGAAAAGTAAGGCAACCATTTATCATTAGTATTCTCTAAGGTTAGAGAAGAAACAGGTACACTGAAGTCGACAACAACAATTCTCACAAAAAGATGAACTTGAGCGCTTCATCGAAATCCGTGTCATCCTTAGCAGGCTTTGTTGACTGATCTCTGTATGTCACCAAGTTCAACTTAAAGTGTTCAAACATTGAGTCACTCAAGGCTCTTTCCGCGGAGGAAGGCGTTGTAACTTGACAAAACAAACTTTTACCTCTGGCACTTGACAATTTATCATCGTATATTCTACTAACATTCTCTTGCTTATCGGTACTGCACATTTCAAGGTCCCTAGTTTTAGTGGCACCAGAAGAATCTACCACTCTCTTATCATTAACCTGCAAGATGTTTGAATGTGGCTGATCTATCATCTTATTCTTACAAAACATCTCAATTTCCTTTATTATGCCATATCGCAGAAATCTAGTGCCAGAAACTTCCAAATAGCTGTTAACATATGTAAGGATAAATTTCATCTGGTCGTCAAGGTTGGGAAGAAAGCCATTTGGGTTGTTAAGCCCTGAGGTAATAACTGCCATTTTACTGAACTTTTCGAAGCCACTCTTCTTACCAGCCTACGGAAGAACAAAAAAAAATTATCAATTACAAAATCAGTCAATATAACGAACCACAAGCAATGTCTCTTGACTGAAATGACACAAATGCAAAATATCACAAGTCCAATTCTAATGATAAGCCTCCCAAATTGAATGCAAATTCCAAGAGGCGAGACAAATGGCTTAACAAAAAGATATATGCAATATAGGAACACAACCCACACGTATGAAATGAAAATGACGAGGAGAGTCCAGGACGGACGGAAACGTTGTCACTTTCATTTTGTGTATTCCCTTCAGCAATGTTATTGTGACAATCTCTGTAAAGATTTATATTAACACAATACTCTACCAGCACACCACCAGGACATTACAAGACAATTAGTTAATGAAAGACGGAATGAAAATTCAGTCATATATATTACAGTACGTATCCTACATCATTCATTTACAAGTACTTATGTATAATTTCATCTTTATCTTCATCAAAACTGCTTTATATCTATATACATCTATGTTGACCAGACCACATACTAGAAAGTGAAGGGATGACGACGTTTCGGTCCATCCTGGATCATTCTCAAGTCGATTTCGGTCCAGAACGGACCGAAACGTCGTCGTCCCTTCACTTTCTAGTGTGGTCTGGTCAACATACTTCAGCCACTTTATTGTGACTCATCGCCTGCATATACATCTATAATGTCTGGAAACTTCCTATTCTTGTAGGGAAGGGGGGGGGGGGGGGGGGGGGGAGTGCTTTTATTCAGGTTTCTCAAGGCATTTCAAATGTATGTCTTCATTTAAATATAGTACTGTACTGTATCAGGGACAAATGACTGACGAACTGAAATCTAATCTTAGCTGCATAAAGCAGAGCCACTGCTATGGACAGTGCTGAGGCTACATGTGATGCTCTAGTGTGGAATGTTAGGTGAATTGGTCTACCTTGTGTCTACTTTGTGTAGCTTCCGGGGATCAACAGCCCCATGTCCCAGTCTCCGACTAGGCCTCCCAGTTGGTCGTCTGGTCACCCAGGCTGTTGGACGCGACTGCTTGCAGTCCAACGTATGAATCACGGCCTGTTTGATCAGGTATTTGATGGGGGTATATTTTCCTGATAGTGTTTTCCAAAGATGCGAGGAAAAGTATCAGATACCAAAGCATGGTAGTCTACGTCTGTACATCAGTCGATTGACGGTTGAGAGGCGGGACCAAAGAGCCAAAGCTCAACCCCCCGCAACCACAACTAGGCGAGTACGTCCTCAACTCTTAAAGGAGGGACCAGTGTTCAATCCCCAGGCAGGACAGAAATGGCTGGGCATGTTACCTTTCACCTGATGCATCTGTTTACCTAGTTGTTAAATAGGTACATTGGGAGTAAGCCAACTGATTGTGGGCTGCATCCTGGGGAATGTCAGTGGTTGGCCTAATGGAACCTTAATAAGTTTAAACTGCAGGCTTCCTGTCCCTGACAAGGCATTTTATTTTTACCTGAGATGTCCTTTTGTATGACTTCAACAGCTGCCGCATTTCTTCAGTCTTTGCTAAATCTCCCGGAGTAATGCCATTGACAGTTTTATCCTTTAGCAAACTAACACCTGCAAAAATTGTATCATGAAATAATCATCTTTTATAGCAATATTTATCTCCAATTTCTGTACAACTTACAGTATATACCCATCACACTAACTCTCACACACATACACCACACTCGGCACACACACACACACCTGACCTGGAGGTTGATATCACGCCAGACCTGTCCCCTGAAGCTCATATCAAGAGGATAACATCAGCAGCATATGCCAGGTTGGCTAACATAAGAACGGCCTTTAGAAACTTGTGTAAGGAATCTTTCAGAACATTATATACCACATATGTCAGACCAATCCTGGAGTATGCAGCTCCAGCATGGAGTCCACATCTAGTCAAGCATAAGACTAAACTGGAAAAGGCTCAAAGGTTTGCCACCAGACTAGTACCCGAGCTGAGAGGTATGAGCTACGAGGAGAGACTACGGGAATTGAACCTCACTTCGTTGGAAGACAGAAGAGTTAGGGGGGACATGATCACCACATTCAAGATTCTCAAGGGAATCGACAGGGTTGATAAAGACAGGCTATTTAACACAAGGGGCACACGCACACGGGGACACAGGTGGAAACTGAGTGCCCAAATGAGCCACAGAGATATTAGAAAAAACTTTTTTAGTGTCAGAGTGGTTGACAAATGGAATGCATTAGGAAGCAATGTGGTGGAGGCTGACTCCATACACAGTTTCAAGTGTAGATATGATGGAGCCCAATAGGCTCAGGAACCTGTACACCTGTTGATTGACGGATGAGAGGCGGGACCAAAGAGCCAGAGCTCAACCCCCGCAAGCACAACTAGGTGAGTACAACTAGGTGAGTACACACTTAAAATACTTTATACATAAACAGACAAGAAGAAGAGGAAACTTACAGCATAATCAACCCATGATTCATCAGACTGCAAGCAGTAACATCTAACAGCCTGGTTGATCACACTACCAACTACAAGACCTGGTCACAGTTGTCTGAGACTGGGCTGCAAGGGCTCTGATCCTCTAAACCACCTCAAGAAACCCCAAATTTCCTCCCAGGTATCAGTAGACTGAGGAGGGAGCCAATGAATAAATCCACAAGGGCCGTGATGAGTGTTCGAACTTAACGTCCAGGATGATGCCAGACGCGCCTTAACCCTTAAGCTGCTAAGGGGTCCTGAGGAGATTTACACCCGTGCACAAGAAAAAAAAATTCTAACAAATTATTTCATCTTCTAAAAATGTTAATATGTGTTCCCTGAGCACGGAAAAAATAAAAAATAAATCGTAGACGACATATTTTGGCCGCAGTAGACCGAGGAATTCTGGCAAAAAGTGGGCGTTGACAGAGCGGTCGTCAGAGCCGGTCAGCGTCACCCGCGCTGACAGGTGGGAGTTGCCACAAAGATATTATTACCTAATTATTTCAATGTGTCTGATTTTTTCTTAGTTTTTTTTTGCAGTAATATTATTCAATAGTGTGTAGTGTGATATATTTATATAATAAAAGGGGTAAATCATCGCTATACTCAAAAGTATGGTGTGCATATTAGTGATTCATTTATTATGTTCATAAAACAATAAACAAATAGTTTTGCTGTTATTACACTCTATACACAGGTTATATATAAGTACTGTATCTGCATGTTTTGTTCACCATAATGAACCACTAAGTTGTTATTGCGAGTCGAAAAGCAACGAGGAGTGACCTCCACACACCAGCCAACCACTCGTTGCCACTCCCTCAACAATGCCTCACTCGCCCACTTTCTCCTCCCACCATCCTGTTTTATATTTTATTCACAATATACAGACATTATATATAAGTATCTACATGTTTTCTTCACCACAACTGTACAGCTAAGCTGATAAAGTTAGTTGAGGCACTAAGAGTCGTCGCTATACACAGTCAGCTGGCGGCTCCCTCACTCTTTCAAGGTCACACGCACTAAATTTTCTCCCCCAACAATACCGTTTGTGGTGTTATTACATTATATACAGACATTATATATAAGTATCTATATGTTTTGTTCACCACAACTGTATAACAAAGCTGATATAGTTAGTTCAGGCACTAAGAGACATCGCTACACAGTCAGCTGGCGGCTGCCTCCCGCACTCATTCAAGTTCACACGCACTATAATTTCTCCCCCAACAATACCATTTGTGGTGTTATTTCACTATATACAGACGTTATATACAAGTATCTATATGTTTTGTTCACCACAACTGTACAACTAAGCTAATATAGTTAGTTCAGGCACTAAGAGTCGTCGTTACACATAGTCAGCTGGCGACTGCTTCCCTCACTCATTCAAGGTCACACATACTAAATTTCTCCCCCAACAATACTGTTTGCAGTGTTATTACCCTATATACACATATTATATATAAGTATCTACATGTTGTATGCACCGTAACTGTACATCTAAGCTTGTAGAGTGCCGAAAGAGCATAGTGGCCACCCTCTACACAGCCAGACAAATCATGCAGACGACGCCACCTCCATCACCCAAATGGCTCCTCCCAACATAATCCTTTTGCTGTTATTACACAAATATACACATTATATACAAGTATCTACATTTGTGTTCACCATAGAGAACCACTGAGCTGGTATGGTGAATGCCGACAATAACAGGTGACCACACAGTCAATAAACAATGCTATCTCCCTTCGTCCCTCAGCATCACTCCTCCCACAGCACTAATTATCACAATCCTGGTCATTTTTATCACAGTCAGGGGTCATCTGTAATATTGCCATCGCTAAATAATAGCAGTTATATATTTATTTTGACATTTTTCGGCGATGCTGTGGTCACAAGCTGAACAGCAATGCTGTTCGCTCATGCTGCGTGCGCCAGCCTTGGTTGCTCCAACAGTACTGTGGCTCTCACACTGGAGGATATTGCCTGCGATTTTTTTTTTAAATAGCGTCTGTTTACAAGAGCCCTGAGGAAGCTAATGTGAACCCCGTATAGCCGCAGGCCATTTGAATCGTGCCTGGTACCCTATGGCGTATATATATGTCATGCGCACTGTGGGACATGTCACTCATGGCGTATATATACGCCATGCGCAGTTTAAGAGCCGGTCGGCCGAGCGGACAGCACGCTGGACTTGTGATCCTGTGGTCCTGGGTTCGATCCCAGGCGCCGGCGAGAAACAATGGACAGGGTTTCTTTCACCCTATGCCCCTGTTACCTAGCAGTAAAATAGGTACCTGGGTGTTAGTCAGCTGTCACGGGCTGCTTCCTGGGGGTGGAGGCCTGGTTGAGGACCGGGCCACGGGGACACTAAAAAGCCCCGAAATCATCTCAAGATAACCTCAAGATAAGGGTTAATCGACTAAGACAACATTGTTCAAACCCTCATCACAGCCCTTGTGGATTTATTCATTTAATATATCACGCTATTGTGATTTCTGTGTGTATTGTGGGAGCCAAGTTTATTGTTCTGAGGGACCCAAGACAACATGCAGGTACATTAGATAATAACAGCATGTGCAATTTAAATCTGGGGTCATAAATGAAAACCGTATTATGAAAAAATAAATAAAAAAATCAATTTTAGACATGCATAATATTAGGATTCAATGAGTACTGTATAATAGTCCTAAAATAAAACTTTATGACTATTCTTTTTCACTTGGGCACAGGATAGAAATACTGTAACTGAAGTTACATTGTTTTAAAAAACAAAAAAATTTTGCAATGTTAATGATTTATCTGGCAATCAAGGAGCTATGAGGCCCAGTAATAATATGGATCTTCCTTGCACCACCCTATGCAAGTCTTCACAGTTTCAAACCAATACAAGAAAAAAAAAAAGTCTTCTCCAGATGCTGGGTTGTGCAAAGACTGCAAAGTTTTAGACGAGAAAATATTGAAGCCATACGATAGAATCAAACCTGCATCCCAGTACTCATCAGCTATATTATTGTGTCATCATTGTGCATTTAAGGAGATAATTCATGCAAAAGTATTAAGTATTCCTACCAAGAAATTCCTAACGAATACAAGCGTATTCAAAATACAAAAAGACGTACCTCCATGATCGAGTAGCAGCTTAACAGTGCTAAGATGGTTGGATTCTACTGCATCATGTAATGGTGTTCTACCTTCATCTCCGCCCCTAGCACTGACATTAACAGAGTACGAGACTGCATCTGAAAGCACAAAAATAGGACTATAGAAAACTGTAGAAGGCCAATTACCCCATACAATACTGTACAGCTATTTAGACAGACCCAAGTCTTATTCATATATATAGATATATAAATATGAATAACCTACACTTGAAACAATCCACTGATCCCAGGTCTATTATATTACCCGGAAATTTGTTCCAATATTGATTAAAATGATAATTGTGGTTATCTGTCTCAGATAATTGATTATCTGAGACGGGTCAGATAACTGATAATGACGAAGAAATGAGTAGTATTTTTAATAAATATTTTATCTCTATTTTCTAAAAGAGGAATTTAACATTATGCCTTCAGCCGAACATGTTTATGTTGGTGGGGAAGAGGACAGGTTGACTAATTTAGCAGTTACCAGGGAGGATGTTATTAAACAAATACTGAAACTCGAGCCAAACAAATACCCAGGGCTGGATGAAGTGTTTGCCAGGGTGCTTAAAGAATACAAAGAGGAGCTTCGTGAGCTGTTGTCTACCATATTTAATAAATCATTAGAGTCAGGCAGAGTGCCAGAGTCGTGTAAGGTTGCTAATGTGGTACCAATTTTTGAAGAAAGGAGATGCAGTAGATCACTTGCATCAAACTATCAGCCAATTAGCTTAACGTTTATTGTGGAAAAGTTACTGGAATCAATAATTGCAAATACCATTCGTCTTCGTCTTGAAAAGCAAATTAATAAAAGATTCCCAACATGGTTTAACAAATGGCCATTCATGTTTAACAAATTTGCTATCATTTTATTCCAGCATAATTGAAGCAGTTGATAGTGGTAAGGTTTGTGATGCTGTGTACAGTGACTTTAGCAAAGCTTTTGATACAGTGCCACATGAAAGAAAGAGTAAAAAGATAGAGGCTCATGGTATTGGGGTGCTATATTAAGTTGGATTAGGGCATGGCTATACCAAAGGAAGCAGAGTTAGTATAAATGGGGGTTAAGTCAGAGTGGGAAAATGTTGTAAGTGGAGTGCCTCAAGGCTCTGTCCTGGGACCTCTTATTCATAATATATATAAATGATTTAGATTCAGGTTTGAGCAGCAATATTTGCAAATTTGCCGATGATACAAAAAAGGGAGGGGGGAAATAAACACGGAAAGACTCGCTATCACTTCAAGACGATCTAAATAGAGTTTTGAAATGGTCAAAAGATTGGCAGATGCAGTTTAATGCTGACAAATGTAAGGATTTGAGGCTAGGTAATGATGATAGAGTTACAAGATACGAGCTAGATGGTGTTGAGATTGCGAAGTCGGATTGTGAAAGGGATCTGGGAGTTATGATTAGTAAGAATTTAAAAAAAAAAAATCAATGCATAAATGCTCGTAATAAGGTAAATACGACTGGGATTTATTAAAGCTTTAATAATAAGACACCTGGTGTTGTTCTTCAGCTTTATCTTGCTCTGGTTAGGCCCCATTTAGATTATGCAGTTCAGTTTTGGTCACCATACCAAATATATATATAAATATATATAAATTCACTGGAATACGTCCAGCATACGAAGACAAAGTTAGTCCCCCAAATTAGAAACCTGTCATATGAAGAAAGATTGACAAATCTTAAACTACATTCTCTAGAAAGGCGAAGAATTGGGGGTGAAATGATAGAGGTGTACAAGTGGATGAATGGACATAAAGAGGATATTAATATGGTAATTAAAAGTACTGTACAGTGGAACCTAGGTTGTCGTGTGCCCGTTCTCGTAGTTTTCGGTTCTCGTAGTATATTTCTACGAGAAATTTGATTTGGTAGTTGTAGTTTGTCTCGGTGGTCGTAGTTTGTTTATACATGTATGGGTCCACTGCGAGCATAGCGCTTCATTTTACCAGTGTCTCCCGCCTAGTAATAATCGTGCTTGAATTTTTTGTGAAGAATTTAATTGTTTTTGTGCTTTTTTTGGTTTCCCGAGCATAAAAATTCTTATTATATATCACGCCATGGATTCCAAGAAAGTCAAGGGTAATGTTCAACCTAAGAAAATAGTTGTGAGGATGATAGAGGAAAAACAAGAGATCATTCATAGTGAGACAATGTGATGTCTCACTACAGATAAATGTTAAAACATGGGGGGAAAAACAAGTTTCTATAGAAGGATTCTTAATAAGACAAGCAAGCAGTGAGCCACAACCAGGACCTAGTGCTATGCCTGCAAAACATAAAAAGAGTACCCCAGAAATGTCATCACTGCCTGATATTATAAGAGTAGGGGACTCCCCTTCCAAACACTAATACCTCTTCTCCTCTCCCTACCGTTTTCCATACACCAACAAGAGTCCTCCATCAAGGTACCTATGAGTAGTTTTCTGTATAAAATGTATTTTTTAGTTTATATTTTTAGGGGTGTGGAATGGATTAATTCAATTTACATTTCTTCTTATCGGAAAATTCGTTTCGGTTTTCGTACCGTCTCTGGGAACAGATTAACTACAAAAATGAAGGTGGTACCGTATCAACACAAGACAGAACACAAAACAATGGGTATAAATTGGATAAGTTTAGATTTAGGAAAGACCTGGGTAAATACTGGTTCAGTAACAGGGTTGTTGATTTGTGGAACCAATTATTGTATAACATAATAGAAATAGGATTCCTTGATTGTTTGAAACATAGGTTAGACATGTATATGAATGAGATTGGGTGGTTATAAATAGAAGCTGCAACGTATGTGCCAATAGGCCATCTGCAGTTACCTTCATTCTCATACAAGTTTATTCTTAATTCAACAACGCAGTTTTCTAACCAGCATTTATACCCAGGTAAATACTGCACACACACACACACTAAACAGCAAGAATACCAACTCAGCAGCAGAGAGAGGTAATTAGCGTGCAAGCCATAAATGGCTAGGAGACAGGATATGAAGTGTTAGATGTCACTCCTTGTAGTCGCTTATAAGTAAGCAATACAGTACTGTCACGATGCCACCTGTCTTACAAAAAACGTCGCTTTTCGCTCCTATGTGCTACACAAGGCAAAAAATTGTCGTATTAGAAAATGGAAGCGGCTTGCGAAAGCAACATACTGTCCCGTTTTCTGTTTTGGATCCTCTGGTAGGTTAAGACCAATTTAAATTGACCCTTTTCTTGATGTTGGGAAACCTTAGGATGACGGGCTGGACAGTGAGCTCTCGGAATCTAAGTTTTTAAACACTAGAGCATCTGGTGATGATGCATGCAAATGTATCATTTTAAAGAAACAATATTTATTATTTTGTTCTGCACATGAAGACTGGCAATTTTGATTCCAGTTCCATGCGCATCATAACATTTTAAAAAATCATACCTCGTCTCATATATGAAAGAAGTGTATTTTTTTTTCCAAGTGCATCGTAGCAATTATGGTTGAGCAGCAGTTTGACACACTCATCAAATCCACGCATGGCCGCCTCGTGTAATGCTGTCCAACCCAAGTTATCAGCCATGTTGATGTCGATATCAGGGACAGTAAGCAGCTCACGCACACGTTCCACATTGTTCTTTATGCAAGCACGAATCAAGGTTGTTTCTCCTGTTAAAGCATACATTATAATGTTGCATTACACAATGTAACATGCAAAATAGAATAGCCATAAACTTAAAAATATAGAAAATGTGCAATAAAAGGCAAACAAAATAGGTAATATATGCAGGCAAGCAACCAAACAAATGTTTTTAAGTATCATGCATTTGGGAGTTGAATACTTCAAAGGAAACTTCAGGAATTAGTCCTTTCAGTATTTTGTGCACACACGCACGCACGCGCGCACACACTTTTCTTTCAAAATCATCTTTCTTTCATCTTTCATCAAATCATTGTTTCAATTGAATCACTTTTGATTCAAAAGGTGACACCCCTAGGGTCAACACTTACATCAGAGGAGCTCCAGCATATTTCAACAATCCTAAGTATTGTAGTACAGGTTGATGATAGTGAGTGGTGTCCCAGAGAACATAAAGGTATAGTGCTTTTGAAAAAAAGGCGAGATAACAGGAATGTGCCAAGGGAAGTGAAAAATCAAATGAGAAAAAGTTGCCCTAGTGTTTCCAGTGCAGAGAAGAACATTCATGATGGCCGCCGGCAAGAGGAAAAACAAAACAGAGCTTGATTTTGCGGGATTCAATAAAGAAAGCATTGATATTAGTAGTCTACATAAGTTGGTAAAATTAGATACTATAGTGAACTCTCATGTAGAAATAATTAGTAAATTGAAAGTAAGTAATGACCATTTGAATAGCAAAGTTTTATGTCTTGAGGGTTTAGTGAAAGACTTGTGCAAGGATAAAAATCAATTGGAAACAAATTACAAAGCCATGGAAGAAGAAAATAAACTCTTAAAAATAGCTTTGGAAGAAGTTAAAGTAAATTTAAACATAAATGATTACAATAGGTTAGGTAAGAAAATTCAACAGGAAAAACAGCTTTTGTCAGCACAGATGGAGGAAGTTACACAGGGAATAGAACAGTGCAAGAAAGATATGCAACTCACCTATGCACAAGTGGCCAAGGAGAAGGAAAAAATTGAAGAAGCAGTAAAGGGAGCCAAGCACTGCAGCAACCAAGATACAACAAACATTAGGCTGGAAGTGAGAAAAGAATTGGCATCTAACCCGAAGTTGGTGCAAAATACAGTTGATCGGAGCAAATCCCTGATAATTTTTGGTTGCAAAGAAAAGGAGATAACATCTAGGTCAGAAAGAGCTGTAGAAGAAGTGAAAGTAGTAGATAAAATTGTTGGCCTCGTAGAAGGTCTTACTACCATAGAGAATGTGTGCGACTACAGGAGAATAGGCAGGTACGTAAAAGGGAAAGATCGACCTTTGAGGATCACCCTAAACGGTGCCAAACAGATGGAAGAAGTACTCAGGAATGCCAGAAAATTACGAAGTGATGAGGATGGGAAAGAGTGGTCGTTAAGACGAGATCTTTCAAAAGAAGACAGAGAAGCTGAAACTGAACCTCGCCGAGGTAAAAAGTTTAAATGAGAGCAGGAATGAAGAAACAATCAATTCTTTTTTCTACAAAGTGATAGGGGTAGGCAGACCAGTAAAGTGGTACATAAAGGCAAACCAACAAAATTAATAGAGAGAGGAAGAGTGAAGAATAAGGAGAGGGGGGAACAAGTTCCTGAAGATTGCATACACCAACATAGATGGAGTGAGATCGAAGATACTGGAGTTAAGTGATGTAATACAGCTGCAGACACCAGACATTGTTGCACTCACGGAGACAAAACTTGAAGATGTTATTTTAAATGAGGTCATATTCCCAAGGGGCTACTCAATTTGGAGACGAGACAGAAAAATTAGGAAAGGTGGTGGCGTTGCTGTGCTGGTGAAAGAACACCTAAAGGTGAAAGAAATAATGACTGCCAATCCACAAGAAGTTGACATAATAGCACTAGAGATCTGCCATGAGGATGATAAACTAATGATCATAAATGCATATAGTTCACCGCCAAGCAGCACATGGTCAAAGGAGGAGCTAGATAGTAAACGCGAAGGTCTTATAACAATAATGAGAGAGATTATAGCGAAAGCTGATAACGATAGATCACGACTGTTGATAGTCGGTGACTTCAACTTGAAATCCATAGACTGGGAAGCATATGAAGCTAAAACAGAAGATTTTTGGACCTGTAGATTTGTAGACCTCATCCTGGTAACATTCTTGTATCAACGTGTTAAACAAGCTACGAGGATGAGGGAAGGGGACGTTCCCTCCATGCTAGATTTAGTATTTACCAGGAAGGAGGAAAGAGATATTTGACATTCAGTACCTTCCTCCCTTGGGTAAAAGTGACCATGTCTTTTTGGGAATAAAGTATGCAATGCGTTATAATCTGGAAGAAAATAAGGTTGAAGCAGTTGAAAAACCTGACTTTAGGAGAGGACATTATGGCCACCTTAGAATTTTTTTTAATGAGTATAATTGGACAGACATGATGCTAGACAAGAAAGTGAATGAGATGTATGTCAAGTTTTGTGAAATATATGATAAAGGCACAAAAAAATTTATACCAAAACAGAGATGCAGGACTAGGAAACAGGATTGGTTCAATAGAAATTGCGAGAGGGCCAGAGACCAAAAGACACAAAAATGGAATCAATACAGGAAGAGGCCAAACCCCCAAACATACCAGCGATACAAAGATGCGAGAAACAACTACACGGCAGTGAGGAGAGAGGCAGAAAGAAATTTTGAAAAAGGGATTGCAGACAAATGTAAAACAGAACCAGGTCTATTCTATAAATTCATAAGCAACAAATTGCAGGTAAAGGATAATATTTAGAGGTTGAAAATGGGAAATAGATTCACGGAAAATGAAAAGGAAATATGTGAAACACTAAACGAAAAGTTCCAAAGTGTGCTTGTACAAAATGAAATCTTTAGGGAACCAGACACAATAAGAATTCCAGGGAACAACATAGAACAACATAGAGGTGTCTAGAGATGAAATGGAACAAATGCTCATGGAGCCAAGTAATAACAAAGCAGTTGGTCCAGATGGAGTTTCACCATGGGTACTGAGAGAATGTGCACCTGAGCTCAGCATTCCACTTCAACTGATTTTTCAGGCATTCTTGTGTACAGGAGTTGTAGCATATGTGTGGAAAAAGGCTAACATAGTTCCAATCTACAAAAGTGGAAACAGGGAAGACACCCTTAATTTATAGACCTGTATCATTGACAAGTGTAATAGTCAAAATATTGGAAAAAATAATTAAAACTAAATGGGTAGAACACCTGGAGAAAAACGATATAATATCAGACAGACAGTATGGTTTTCGATCTGGAAGATCCTGTGTAATGAACTTGCTCAGTTTTTATGATCGAGCCACAGAGATTTTACAGGAAAGAGATGGTTGGGTTGACTGCATCTATCTGGACCTAAAAAAAGGCTTCCGACAGAGTTCTACATAAGAGGTTGTTCTGGAAACTGAAACATATTGGGGTAGTGACAGATAAGCTACTAACATGGATGAAAAATTTCCTGACAGAAAAATGAGGGCCGTAATCAAAGGCAAGGTATCGAATTGGAGGAATATTACGAGTGGAGTACCACAGGATTCAGTTCTTGCACCGGTAATGTTCATTGTCTACAAACGATCTACCAGTGGGAATACAGAATTACATGAACATGTTTGCTGATGATGCTAAGATAATAGGGAAGATAAGAAACCTAGATGATTGTCATGCCCGTCAAGAAGACCTGGACAAAATAAGTATATGGAGCAACACTTGGCAAATGGAATTTAATGTGAATAAATGCCATGTTATGGAATGTGGAATTGGAGAACATAGGCCCCACACAACCTATATATTATGTGAGAAATCTTTAAAGAATTCTGACAAAGAAAGGGATCTAGGGGTGGTTCTAGGTAGAAAACTGTCACCTGAGGACCACATTAAGAACACTGTGTAAGGAGCCTATGCTACACTTTCTAACCTCAGAATTGCTTTTAAATACACGGATGGAGAAATACTAAAAAAACTGTTCACGACTTTTATTAGACCAAAGCTGGAATATGCAGCGGTTGTATGGTGCCCATATCTTAAGAAGCACAACAAACTGGAAAAGGTGCAACGACATGCCACTAAGTGGCTCCCAGAACTGAAGGACAAGAGCTACGAGGAAAGGTTAGAGGCATTAAATATGCAAAAACTAGAAGAAAGAAGAAAAAGAGGCGATATGATCACTACATTCAAAATAGTAATAGGAATCGATAAAATTGACAGGGAAGAATTCCTGAGACCCGGAACTTCAAGAACAAGATGTCATATATTTAAACTAATGAAACAAAGCTGCCGAACAAATATAAAAAAATTCTCTTTTGTAAACAGAGTGGTAGACGGTTGGAAGAAGTTAGGTGAGAAGGTGGTGGAGGCCAAAACCGTCAGTAATTTCAAAGCGTTATATGACAGAGTGCTGGGGAGACGGGACACCACGAGCGTAGCTCTCATCCTGTAACTACACTTAGGTAATTACACACACACACGCACACGTGCACACATACACATTGGTTCCACAGAGGAACGTGGCTGAGTGGACAGCACGTGGGACACGTAATCCCTGAGTCCGGGTTCGATCTCGGGTGCTGGCGGAAATATATGGGCAGGGTTTCTTTCACCCTGATGCCCCTTTCACCTAGCAGTAAATAGGTACCTAGGAGTGAGCTAGCTGTTATGGGCTGCTTCCTGGGGGGAATGTGTGTAGAGGAAAAAAATAATAAAATAATTAGTAGTTAGTAACAGTTGCGAGGCGGGCCGAAAGAGCAGAGCTCAACCCCCACACGCACAACTAAGTGAATACAATCACAAACTCTGCCAAGAGAATTACCGGAAGTGTTACAAGCCGTTTATATTCTCAGTACAGTATAAAGTCAATCATTACCATAGTTCTCTCTTTCATGGGTTGGTGAAGGACCACCTCAGAGGAAAAAGTTAAATACAATACAGTGAAAGAAGGATAGAGATATTAAAAAATATAAATTCATTATGCATACCATTCACACTAGACAATATAACATAAAAACCCAACATCAAACTCCAGAAGTTATCCACAGCAGCATGCAACTGCTTCATAAGACCAGGAGTACAGCGCTCATCAATAAACTACAGTATTTTGAACATTATAACGTCAAGTTTAACTAAATATCATCTTGACTTCTCTAATGATATTAGGAGGGGACTTACATAAATGTAGGCCAATGCACTAGTGGTACATATGAAGCATAATAACATACCCATGCAATGAAACAGACAATCGAGTGACAGTGATTAGCTAAGTGTAATCACTATGTCAGTGATCACACTTAGGTAACTGACACTCGTCGAGATGTGTGTACAGTTCCTCGTGTGAAACAGACTAATTTGTAAGGATTTCGATCCACAAACCATTTCACCAGTTTTGTGACAAGCAATAGAACACACTCTTGTCCATATTTAGAAAAAATACATAAACAATGAATCTCAAATATAATGGACAGTAAAATGGATAAAGAAAAGAAAATAAGAAAAAATATTGTATAGAAAACGTTGAGAAACTACTGAAGCCATATGATGGGGATCAAATCCATGCATGTGCCTATCGATTTACTACACTAAATGTAGTAAATGAGAATCAAGAAACTGCTGAAGGCCTATTGGCACGTACGAGGCAGCTCCTATTTATATCCACCCAAACTCGTTCACATATGGTGCATGTCTAACCGACATTTGAAACAATCGAGCAATCTCACATCATTATATTTCACCTTAAGTTCTTCCAGAAATCAACAACCCTGTTTCTAAACCAATATTAACCAGGTCTTTCAAAAATTTAAAAACGTATCATTTTATATCAATCGATTTGTGATCTATTTTGAGAAACGTTTCTTTGCAATCTATTGTGGTTTACACTTCACAATTCATGCAATTTCATGATACAATCATGAAAACTGGAAGCAGCTTGGTAGTACCAGACTTTCCAGGTACTATACAACTGCTACTCATCTCTGTTCATACATACCAGCTCTAGCAATAAGCAACAGGACCCAGGACAAAATACAGTACAGTACTACAGAAGATATCCCCCAAAAATATACGTGAAAATTATTCTATTATACCCAAGTACTGTAGCACCTCAATTGAACGGACTAATTGGAATCAGCCTTGTTCCATTTCAACAAGGATTCGGATCCACCGAGAATTTCTGTTTCCCCAAAGATTCGAATCCATAAGATTGTCTCAAACTTAGCCATTATTTATAGTAAACTTCATTGTTTTCTGATCCCAATTGATAAAACACATCTGTGTGCACATGCAGACCACTGAATGATGTTTGTCCTTCGTTGTCAAAGATGATCATAACTTCAATATATGGAGTGATGTCATGACATGCGCTTAACTTTGATTAAAGTGAGGGAGAATTGCGCAAATCGTCAGCCTCATTCTCTCGTCCCGGCCTATTTGGGTCTAGCAGCAAGTCGAGATGGCAGGAAATAGATCAAGATACAGTGGATGACCAGCAGTGTCCTGTGTGTCTCGCTGCTCCCTAGTTCTCCACAATGCTTTACTGGATCCACCTTCCTGCCTGCTGAACCATTTTCTTGTAGTTTCCTCCCCGCAGTCTGCTGGGTCCAGTCTCCGCATGCATAGGTAGACGAGCCAGAATTCACCAAGGGCCTCAAACCTTCAGCTACCCTCACCTGGTTTTGCCCACCAGTCGAAGCAGTTTACTAGGGTGTAGCCCTTGTATGCAAACAGCTACACGGAGCCACAGGTGAGAGTTGAGTGCAAGTGGGTTACCTTGAGGTGCTTCCGGGGCTTAGCGTCCCCGCGGCCCGGTTTTGGGAACCAAAACAGACAAACCACTCAAAGCGAGACTTCCCTGTCATAGATACTACCCTCTCACTGGCACCCCAGACCACTGAAAACAACTGATTATTATATAAACAAATATTTTAAACACACCAGAGATAAAAAAATTAAGAAAACTACAAAATTTAGACAAAACGGAGAAATGTCTTGCATTTACCTTGAAGATGACCTGGCTACTCTTTGCAACCCTCTGTAGGCATCATACAGGCCAAGAATGTACTATATTAATCAAAGAGGCAAGAGCTGTGTGTGTGTACTGTAATTTACTCCTGTACAGTACTGTACTTAAAATATTAAACTTTACATTGACACACAACTTATATCAAACTGTATTATAAAGATACAGATTTATTTCTAGAACTTTTAACACTTACCCTTATGGTTTGTCTTATTGATGCAATGAGGACTTATGCGTTTTCTGCTGGTTGACGTTCGTAAATTTTTCTTCTTTGGTGTGACGAGTGAAACTTCTCTATTAACATGTGATTTCTGGAAACAAGGATGTGCAATAGTATCTTCTACTGTATAGTGAGTTTGCCTTCAAACAAAACCAATTTATATGCCTAATGCCTATTGTTGGGTAGCCCATAATAAACAACTTAATTCCTCTCCTATCAACAGAAGTCATTTACAGAACCCTATCACTAGGTTTAAGACACTGTGTAAATTGCTCCCATTTAGTATTCTTCACTATCACTTCTCATGCGTACATGTTTTCTCACTATATCTACTCACATTTAATTGGCTGCCTCCTCAATACTTTAATATATATACATTCTGACCTGCAAATATAAACACCTTGAGACTGTGGCGGGTCAAAACAGAGGGGTCTTGGTTGGGTTCATCCTCGAACCTTCTCAATTTATTGGACTCGAGATAAAAATAGTATTTTGAGTGAAATGGAACGCTCTTTATCGAGGTGGTTCCTCCATTACAGCCTGGAGTTGGTGGGCTACACGAATTCCCCCCACACATTCTGCATGCATTCTATGACTGGTTTGTCCACCATCACCAATAACATTCTAAATACAGTTGCTTTGTCACATCTGAAATTAGTCTCAGATTAGTGACGCTAATCACTAATCTGATTAGCGAAAGTATACCACAGAAGCTCAATCCTTTCCCAGACTAATAACTGTCACAGACACACACACACATTTTGTCAAGGTTATGCACATGGCATGGTAACACTAGGGAGCCGGTCGGCCGAGCGGACAGCACGCGGGACTTGTGATCCTGTGGTCCTGGGTTCGATCCCAGGCGCCGGCGAGAAACAATGGGCAGAATTTCTTTCACCCTATGCCCCTGTTACCTAGCAGTAAAATAGGTACCTGGGTATTAGTCAGCTGTCACGGGCTGCTTCCTGGGGGTGGAGGCCTGGTCGAGGACCGGGCCGCGGGGACACTAAAAGCCCCGAAATCATCTCAAGATAACCTCAAGATATGGCACTGCAGTTCGTGTACCTTCTAGGTGCCGAGAGCATTCTCCTTGTACCGGGTAATTTCACTTTTCTATATACATTCATTTCCTTAACAATTCCTGATTTTTGCCAGTATTTCAGTATAATAAGAGACAAATATAAGAATTACTAACACTATTGACGATCAGAAAAATGTGCACTGCTCACCTTATCACTCTCTGATGTTTTGGTGGGGGAGACGGCCTCTTTACCTGCATGCACTGCTACAATATAGTCCATCTAGAATAAATGATTAGTTACTTGTATTTATTTGAAATAAAATGGCAACAGCATGTAGACATATACTTACATATGTCTGTCTACATCTATTGCTAGTGGGCTGGTGATTAAAGAGGAAGGGAGGGGACTAACTGGAACATCCATCCCAGCGATAATTTTCGGCCTAAACGTGTGTTAAAACTGCATTAAATAATTTAGGTACCCTGTAACACTAGCATATAATTTGGTAATTTCATGAGAAATTACTGAAGCACGACAATGGGAGTGAACCTGCATTCTTGAGCTCCTCGGGCGCGCACACTACTGACTGAACCATAAGTTTAGGAATGCAGGTTTGATCCCTTTGGATAGCTTCAAATTTTGTCATATATTACGTTTTTGTGATTTCACTGTTCATTGTAGTTTCATGTCAATGCTACGAGTGGGGGGATGCATTCCCAGGTCACCAAAAATCATCACAAAACCAATATGTTTGGGATATATACAGTAATATAAAAATCCACAACAAAAATATAAGGGATCACTGGATTTTTTTTTCAAGCGTAGGTTAAACATGTATACATACATGTTATATGTACATAGAGCTGCCTAGCATGGGACAGTACAGCCTTTTGCAGTTTCCTCCAATTTTATTTTCTGGCGTTATATAGCAAGTGCTTGCTCCAGTGGAGAATTAAGAATACTCCTCAATGGCTTCCCTTCCCCAACACATGCCATACCCTCTGAAAAGGAGCCTGCCGTGGTCGGGCTATCGTCACAGACGACCATGGCATCTGTATGGTCTGTTGTCACTGACGACCTGGTATCTGCACAGTGCACATGCTGGACCCTAACTGATAGCACAGGGAATTAAAAAAATAATACATGTAGTAAATGGGTGTGAGAATAGGAAGTTACAGTAATTCATGTAAAGCTTATACTGCAACGTGGAACTGCAGTTTTCAGGCCACCGGGAGTGATCTAAAATGAGAATTCTTCTTAAAAATGAGAAGTCTTCTATTCTCCATATTTTCTACCTGTTCAATAATTTATTTTGAGTGGTTAGTGTACCGAGTTATTAAATATACCAGCCATGCAATGTTGATAGATGTGGTGTCCTTGTATACTAGTTGTGCCCATGAAGGGAGGTGGCTCTATGCTTCAAGCATCCTCCACAAGTTAGTATATAAAAGTAACGTGCTTATTTACGGAAAACTAATGTAATTTGCAAAAAATGCTCTGTGAACATATAAATTACAATTTATGGGAACAACAATCTCCATTAAAAAATATATCTACCTATCTAATTCAAGTTTATTTGTAACATTTAATAGATGTAGAAACTAGATATGGTCAAAGTTTAAATCAATTTTCACTTACAATATTTCGAAGAATAATTTCCTCATTGTTTATGAGAGCCACTCTCTGGAAGATGAGGGAACATAGGATCATCTTCGTCCAGGGAGATGTAAAATCTACAATGAGGTTGATAGAATTGGCATGACCACAATCTAAAAGAAAAAAAAAAGAAATAGCATTTATACACTTTTATATGTCAGGCAGACAATGTTTTACTATATAGTCAACGTAATAGATTTGTGATGTTGGTAAACGTGTATTTTATACCACCTGTTGCCGGGACCAACGAAACCAACGATTCCCCAAATCAACGCAAGGTAATGCAAGGTTGCCCTAGGGAAAATTTTCCTTTCGCAGCTCTAGGATCAGACTAAAGCATCTTGAGTTTTCGTAATTATTTTTCCCAAAGCTTTCCATCGTGTTTCCTCTATAATTTCAAAAGCAAAAAATTTTGTGTGGAATTTTCTAAAAGAAATTGCACATATGGGATGGTCTAGCCAAATTAATTCTTCAGTCTAAAGGTTAACAAAAGTGGAAAAAAAATAAACTTTGGGAGGCCTCTGGAATGCAATTAAATTTGTTTTTGTATATAGTATCCAAGTTTGATCTGCAAGGTTTCAAGATGCAAATAGTCTTTCATGCAAATAGGTGTAAAAAATTTGCTCGGAGTCTTCCGTGGAAATTAACATACAAACTTCATAGTATTAACCAAGAGTGTTTTCTGAAATACCAAGAACAGTACAGCTACATCAAATTAAAAAAAGAAAGTTCAAATTTTATAAAGAATGCTAGTGCAGATGCTAAGTCACAATAACGTGGCTGAAAATTAAACAGCTAACCTACAAATCTGAAATAAAAAGAGCGACGACATTTCAATTCATCCTGGACCAATTATCAATGGACTTGATAATGGCCCAGAACTGACCTAAACATCATCAGTTCTTTTATTTTCAGATTTACAGGTTGGGTGTCTAGGAACGCTATTAATGTAACTCCTATGTAATTAAGAGTCAACGTAATATCACAAACCTTTCATGCGAAGTTGCAGTTCAGTATCAATGTCAAAAAGAGAAGTTGGCAGTGGACTAACTGGGATTAGTAACTTCTTTTCAGATCTCCAAGCTAATTCCAGGACCATCGACACAAGTTGCTGTAAGAAACGAGATTAATTAAACTTTAGGAGAAAATATTGAAGCAGTACTATGGGATGGAACCAGTATACCAGAACGCCTCATAGATATATTACAAAATATGTGGTATAGTGTATATAAAAACATTTTGAATTCTTCAAACTTTTTACATATTGCTTATAAAGTGAAAATCAAAATTATTATTAATGAAATTAATTGCGTTTGTACAGTACATGTGAACACGCATACATGCACACTACTGTTCAGTTAGGTGAATATTAGTTCTTTGGACTTGTGTGGCAACACACTTTTAGCCAGGGGCCAGATTCACGAAGCAGTTACACAAATACTTAAGAACATGTACATCTTTCCTCAATTTTTGACGGCTTTGGTTACATTTATTAAACAGTTTACAAGCATGAAAACCTCCCAATCAACTGTTAATGTTATAAACAGCCCCCTGTTGCTTCGGAGCTCATTAACTGTTTAATAATTGTAAACAAAGCCGCCAAAGATTGAGAAAAGATGTACAGGTTTTTAAGTGCTTGCGTAACTGCTTCGTGAATTTGGCCCCAGGCTTTTCTGGAGGGAGTAAAAGCGATTTGTTTTTGCTTTGTCTTTATGGACACTGTTGCCCTCGTCTGTGGCACAGTGATTGGCAGGTACATGCCAAGTACATGCCTCCTGTGACTAGGCTGCAAACCTCCCGCTTTGTCATGGGGCCCTAGTTACTAACTAGGGCCCCATGACCCAACACTCTCCCAACACTAACAGTGTATCTCCAAGGTAATTTGTAATATTACTCTCTGCAGGTTGGGTCCTCATCTGATGTCGAGCCTGATTCTGCTGTGTTCCACATCCTGAGGCATAGTTCGGAGCACTCGGCTCGTCTCCTGCACACCTCATGTTCGGTGCAAGGTCGATATTATTGACAGTTTAGTTCATTTATTATATACCCCATACCCATCCTAGTGGTGGTAAAGTAGTGGAAGAGGTCACAGAGGCACATTTTACACCACTATCACTGGAGTGCTGGCAAGCAACTTATATCATAATCCTCTCTACCAAAACTGATCTTGTAAGTTGGCTTACTTTCCATTCACTTATAGCCCTTCTTACTCCTAAGATGTTAATGTTAATACTTGCCTATGTGTTGCAGAATATTTATAAAAATTACAAATGTTACACAATATTCTTCCCAGCAACATGGAACTGGACTTGTTCCGAGCAAGCAGAACTGATATCAGATGACAGTCCTTCTGAATATACCTGTACACAAGAATGGCATGAAATCTTTGTATCCCAGGCTGACTTACCAAACCTACCAAATATCAGATTGGTCACCTGAAATTCAGCAGAAAGCACTGCAGAAAAAGCAAGCACTTGCGAAGAGAATCATTTTGTCAACAGCATCCAGACTGAGATCACTAACACACCGACTTCAATGCCAGAAATGCTTTGTGTATTAGTGGCTTTATGCAATTTATGTAACTACTAATAAAGCAACATGTTCAGGGTATAATGCATAAATACAAATTATTATTGTTGTTTTTGTTATCATTAGTCTCACATAAATTAACCACCAATTTAACCACAGCAAAAAAGCTGAAGTTACCCGATAGCAGAGTCTATCAGAGTATAGAGTATACAGAACAGAGCAGACTGTACTGTACTGTACTTCTCATCTACCACGCTGTACTAGAACACAGACCAGGTCTGCTCTCTAGTCAAAGACTACATCAACTCGCTTAACCAAATGGGAGGAATGTGCCTGACCACAGCCAATCTTGCCCCCCTATATCTCCAGCCACGACATGGAGTCACAATAACGTGCTCAAGATATCATGACCAAATCACACAACAGAAGATGGAGAGACAACGACGTTTCGGTCCGTCCTGGACCATTATCAACACACCACTTGATAATGGTCCTGGATGGATCGAAAGTTCGTCGTTTCTTCATCTTCTGTTGAGTGGTTTGGTCATTATACCTCCTCTAAGTCAACCACCTTGCAACACTTTCTCCAACAAAAGGGTTAAGCCACAACCCCATTTTTTCAACATCAATGGTATAAAAGGTATAGGCTATATTCATAAAAATATGGTACCTGGATACAAGACCCATGGGGTCAGGGATGTATCAATTAACCCTTAAACGGCTTAGCTAATCATACACTGTAGTGCACATAAATAGTTTAAGATAAAAAAAATCGCATTTAAGGGATTCGAATGAAGGAGGTAATTGTAGTGATTTGAGCCATTTAACCCCTAAATGGCACAGCTATTTAAAAGCACTACAGCGATGCGTGAACGAATGAAAACAGTTAACGAGTCATATAGAGAATAAATCCTTTATGCCGACTGGAGCAATGTACCTGCTTGATACCTGCTTGATGGGGTTCTGGGAGTTCTTCTACTCCCCAAGCCCGGCCCGAGGCCAGGCTCGACTTGTGATGTGCGCGTTAAGGGGTAATGGTAAGAGGAGACATGCAGTAGCTGGAGCTCAATACCCATTATACTTACCGTTAGGCACTGCCTAATGGCTGCCGAGGACGATACCATAGTAACCCAAAACCTAATGAGCTGCTTGACTGGCATGGTTGCCGAAGGAGTCCTAGAGTAACTCCAAAACACTCGCCACATCAGAAGTTCGGAGACGGCCTCTCTGTAATCGAGAGGAATTTGAAATGTGTGCATGCCATGTAAAATTCTTATTATAACCACTCTGCTTCACATTTCCTTACAAAGATATCTAAACTCAGACTAATTAATTTCACTGCTGATGGTAGAGATTCGGTATTTAAAGTTTAAAGTATTGTCTATGAGATACAAGTAAAATATCACATTTTCTGGAGGATAGTACACACATTTTTCATCCACACATACAGAGTATATATACTATATTTACATGCACAAAATTGTTTCTCCCCTAGAAAACTACTTAATCGTCACTTTCAATCATTGTATGATGGAACATACCAAGAATTTAGTTTTTTAAACAAACTATCCTCGTAAAACAGACATGCCTTGTTGACCAGACCACACACTAGAAGGTGAAGGGACGACGACGTTTCAGTTCGTCCTGGACCATTCTCAAGTCGATTGTCGACTTGAGAATGGTCCAGGACGGGCCGAAACGTCGTCGTCCCTTCACCTTCTAGTGTGCGATCTGGTCAACATACTTTAGCCACGTTATTGTGACTCATCGCCTGCAGACATGCCTTACATGGCAGAAAAATAGCATAAATAATAGATGACTAATTGAATATAAATAGCATAAGAAAATCCACATTACCTGCTATTGCTGTGTTTGATATCTTTCTTAAATAATGCCACAAGAAACTCGAGTAATCCAAGCGAGTGTTCCATTTTAAATGAGGCTTTTTCATCACTAGATGAATCATCATTCGTTGAATCCGTGCACACTTGCAGATTTTCTATTGCAGAGCGCATAAATTTCCATGTCAAATAAGTGCCAGTCACCTCCGATTTCTGTTGGATAATTTACGAGTTATTTACTCTAATAGGTCTACTTTCTTGTAAGTATATTATCTAACATACAGTACCTTATAGAGCAAGTGAAATTTAGAAATTGCCATAAATACTGCGTACAAGCAGAGTGCCAGATGAGTGAAATGCACTCCTAGAGGGTAGGTAGTTCATTATGTACAAACACAACTGAAATTTTAAAATACCTGTACTTACATATAGCTCAATGACACAGAACCATGCTGCAGTGCTATCACAAGATCATCATACAAACCACACTACATCACCCCGTACCACAAAATATACACCACATCTCACATGCACCCTTGCACACGCGCGCGCACACACGCACTCATGCATGCATGCATGCATGCATGCACACACGCACACTCACGCATGCACGCACACACCTTACAATATTTTTTAAGGGGACCTTAGAATTTTTTTTTAACAAGAGTAATTGGATAGGCTTGTTGCTAGGCAAGGAAGTAGAGATGTATGCTAAATTTTGCAAAATATACACAGAACTAAGAAACAGGATTTGTTGAACAGAAATTGCGAGAGGGGCCGAGACCAAGACACAATAATGGTATCATTATAGGAAGAGGCCAAACCCCCAAACATACCAGCGATACAAAGAGAAACGACTACACAGCAGTGAGGAGAGGGGCAGAAAGGAATTTTGAAAAGGGATAGTGGACAAATGTAAAATAGAACCAGGCCTATTCTATAAATTCATAAACAAATTGCAGATAAAGGCTAACATTCAGAAGTTGAAAATGGGAAACAGATTAATGGCAAATGAAAAGGAAATGTGTGAAACATTAAAGGAAAAGTTCAAAAGTGTGTTTGTACAAAATGAAATCTTCAGGGAACAATAAGACACAATAAGAATTCCAGAGAACAACTTAGAGCACATAGAGGCCAATCCGTCAATCAAGTCATGACAGAAATGTTGTATCTTTTCTTTTCTTTTCTTCTCAAACGTGAGGGTTGGTTTATCGTAACATTACACATTCATTCCCCCTCTCAACAAACTCATTCCACCAGTTTACAACACAAGTGTCTAAGTGACTATACTGTATGTACCTCCATGGTAGAATTCAGGACCCTGAAGTAATAGTTTCGCATCCAAGAACTGACTGGTGGGTGAAACTTCAAAACTTGATATGCCACTCCGAGTGCCCGAGAATAGACAAGGCTGAAAGGGGTCTGTTAGAAGATAAAACATGCATATGAAAATTTGTAATTCAAACAACTGACTGAATAAACTCTATCAATTGGAGCTGTCATAGCCAGGGGAGAGCCCAAAGACTTTGCAATTTGGGAGGGGACACACGCCTCAGTCCCACCTCGAACTTAAACTGGGAACTAGCAACTATGTGGAAATGTCGTCGTCTCTTCAATTTCTAGTGTGGTCTGATCAACACTAATATAGAAGCGTACTAGGCACCCCAAAGACCCAAGGGTATAAGATTTCTGGACCAGACCAGACTGGACTGAAATGAGATCCAATTAAAGAGGATAAACAAATGGAACCCCTAAACCACTATTATCTCCAAACACTGTATCAGAGCTTGTTTAGTCTGTATTACATTGCATATGATTCTCTCTCTGCTCTCCATTGCATAAAGACAAGAATATGTAACTGTAGCATGGGCCTTCCTCCTGAAATATCTTAATAGTATGCCAGAATTAGTCTTTATCAATCAGTCATTATACTGTATTTTGTAACTAACTTTGTCATAGATTCTTAGAATATGTGGGAAGTGTGGGAAGTCGACACTAAAAACGAAGACTAACACCATATCTTATTATGTTAATAGTTACTTATCACTGAAATACTAATGATTTTTAAATTTTAGTTATACATATAAAAAAAAACCCACACTATATCCACCAAGCAAAAAACCAGCATCAGTATGAAATATTATTAGAAAAAATGTTGACTTGCAAAATACAATAATTTCTGCATAATTGCATAAATAGTGAGACAAGTGTAAACAACAAGCTAACATTTGGACGAATAAGAGTGGCAACAGAAAAATCAGCATCCAACTCATAATTTTTGCAAAGATGCCAGTCCATATGCAGGCGATGAGTCACAATAACGTGGCTGAAGTATGTTGACCAGACCACACACTAGAAATTGAAGGGACGACGACGTTTCGGTCCGTCCTGGACCATTCTCAAGTCGATTGTGACATTCTCAAGACATTCTCAAGTCCATTCTCACAATCGACTTGAGAATGGTCTAGGACGGACCGAAACGTCGTCGTCCCTTCAATTTCTAGTGTGTGGTCTGGTCAACATGCCAGTCCATCACTATAGCAAGGAAATTTGTTTGTTTTTCCCCATTTTTATACACCTTTCTAGCATATACCTTTTTTGTTGTATACATACAGTACCGGGTAACGTACATATTTATAACTGCTAGTGGGAGAGAATTATACATAACCTATGCAAAATAATGTGCCCGTGAAGGTTTCACAAAAACATGAGTTTTATTCAGCGTTAAAATGGCTTACGAGAACTAGGGGTAAAATAAGGCTTTTTTTTCTAGAATTTATGCTCATGGATCACCAGGAGGTCCATCATAGTTATAACAAACTACTCATTTTAATTGGTAGAAATTGGACAAGGGATAGCTAATAAAGGTCTCCATTAGTATACAGGAATTGAATAAAAAAAATTTAATTGAGAAGTAGGTATACGCTATACACCTACGTATAGGTGTATAGCGTTCACCTCTCCCTCCATTGGAAACAATGAAAGTGACAACATTTCAGTCTGTCCTGGATCCTACTCCAGTCGCGTCTTGACAAGCGTCTACAATGGACTGAAATGTCGCTTTCCTTTCTTTTCGTACGTGGGTGTTGGGTTATTAACTTTCAGCCATATTATTGTAACTTATTCTTAACTCAAGATCTATTGGGGACACCTAGATACAAACTGTAATCATATTTTAGTAAAATAAAAACAAAAACTATATAAAATCTTACCTCTAATACCAACTTCTTTAGTAGATCTCTCAAGACTGCATCAGAAGGGTAAGAATAAGGCGTTATATTCAAATACAGAAAATCCAAGGCTTGCAAAGGAAAGTCCTGATCGTCTTCATAAACTATGCTCGACATGAAATATGACATGCTTGTATCGTCACTTTCCAACTGTCTAATTTCAGGAGAACAATGGGCACGATATGGAGGATACAAGACATAGTCACTGTCAAAATCCTCATCACCATCAAATGAATTAACATTTTGAGAATCACTTTCACACTCTCTCAAAATAAAACTTTGTTCGCCATCATATGAACTACTTAGAAACTTATATTTTTTTACAAATTTCAAAATACCTCTCTTTAAATCATCTTTTTTTAATATTAACTGGGAGAGAGAAGGATCACGTGCAATTTTCCACACCAGACCTTGCTTAGTATCCTCTTTTTTAATGCTAATAGATGTTTGATTAGCCTTTATGCTTAATCCCTGACATTCAACTCTCTTACCAAGATTAACACGAACTTCTTTCAGTGCCATTCGTTTTGGCACTGCTGGATTTTCTTTCAAGTCATTAGATAATTTGCAATTGTTTGATACACCTTTAGCGTGCAAGTCTTCAGTTTGAGAGTCAATTTTATTTCCAGAGTTCAATTCAAGAATTATATTACGATGATCTGAGTTAATAGTATCCTTATCTATACTTTTCTCAACTTTCTCCTGACCTGCTTTTAATCTGGATAATTCAGCTTGTTTACACCGTTCTCTTATTTTATTTCTCATATACTCGTTATCTTTTTCAGTTAACACTTTCGTTGGATCCCATTTTTTGGGTAATACTGTTCCAGCCCCAACCACTTCTGTAATATAACAATCATCATCGTTTCTCTCGACTACTTTATTTGGTCTATCTTCAATGATTTCCAAGTCATCACTCATTTCACTGCATATATTTCCCTTCTGTACTTCGTTTTGTTTATTGTTGCACTGGGTCTTTGCCGAGGCACTGTTGTTCAAGTCAATCAGCGGCACCCTACCATTCTGCCGCGGGGATTTTTCCTCTTTAATACAATATTTAGTAATGGTGGGTTGCTGCTTATCGGGGGAATAAATGAGGTGCCTAAGTCGACGTTTGTTGCTCTTAGTTGGTGTCTGGCAGGCTGGAGATGCAGATTTTCTAGGAGAACAGGTCACAAACTGATCAAGGTTCGTCTGTTGGTATGAGGAGTCGGATATTTTCTGAGGAAGAATTACATGGTTAATGTAGTTTGAACATTCATATTTGATAATATAATTTTTATATCATAATACTGTAGTAAAATATATATACAGGGTACCTCGGTTTAAGAGTTTAATCCGTTCCAGGAGACAGCTTGTAATCTGAAAACTCGTAAACCAAAGCTAATTTCCCCGTAAGAAATAATGGGAAATTAATTAATCCGTTCCCAACTACCCAAAAACCTCACTTCAAACTAAATTTTATACCTAATTCATCTAAATCTACACTACGAAAGTATGTTCAAGTTATTACTTACTCTTGCTGATGACTGCTGTTGGCATATGGGTGATGGTGAGGAGGAGGAGGGAGGAGAGGTGTTACTGTTTGGAAGGGGAGTCCCCTTCCATTATAACATCAGGCAGTGAGGACTTCACTAGTGTGCACACTCTAGCACGTCCCATCTGGTCACCACTTGGTCCGGGAGACATCTCCCGTCACGCAGAGTGCAGTCGCACCTCCACAGATCTCCAGTATCAGCTCTTGATACTGGTAATGGCTCAAAAGGGCCACCACTTACGGGCTATTCATGCCCGTGCCACCTGTTGGGTGGCTTAATCTTCATCAATCAATCAATCTAGCACGTTTTGCCTGCATACCACTAGGACCTGCTTGTGGCTCACTGCTTGCTTGTTTTACTAAGAATCTGTCTAAAGACACTTGTTTTTCCCTACACTTTAACACTTGTCTGTAGCAAGACATCACATTGTCATTTAAAAGGTCAATGCAACGGCCTGCTACAGCTTTATCTGGGTGAGTTTTTTCAACAAAACTTTGCAGTTCTTCCCATACTTCACACATTTTCTTAATGAAGAAGGGACATCCTCTACTGCCTCTACTCACAACTATTTTCTTAGGTTGAATCTTACCACTGGCTTTCTTGGGACCCATGGCGAGATATATAATAACTTATGCTCAAATGGCCAAAAACCCGACAAAAAACTGTAAAGCCTTACGAAGAATTTAGGCGGGATAGCCACTGGGCGCGAGGCACTGGTAAACTGAGGTGTGATTGCCGTGCCACCAGGCGCTAGTTGGCCTGTATGCATATCAACACCCTCGTCTTCCGATGTAAATTTTCCGAGCAAATCCTGCTCATATTCCGAAAAACTCGTATACAGGGACACTCGTATTCCGAGGTACCACTGTATATATATATGGGTCAATTGCAATAATGCAATAAAAAAATGTATCCCACTGGAGTTATGTATATACATTTTGCCTGCAGCCAAAGAAAAAAAATGAATACACATACTTTGATTGCTGCCAATCCAAGAAAGCATCCCTGGTCCCCTATCTTGAGATGATTTCGGAACTTAGCGTCCCCGCGGCTCAGTCCTCGACCAGGCCTCCTTTTTGTTACACCCCCAGGAAGCAGCCCATAGCAGCTTTAACTCCCAGGTACCCACTTACTGCTAGGTGAACAGGGCATCAGGGTGAAAGAAACTTTACCCATTTGTTTCCGCCTCCACCAGGGATCGAACCCAGAACCTCAGGACAATGAATGCCGAGCGCAAGCCACTCAGCCGCCAGGCCCCTATGACAGGCATATATCACAGGGTAATAAAATATGAACAAAATTACAAATCCTAGCAAAACCTCCTGACAATGATGACCAGACCCCACACTAGAAGGTGAAGGGACGACAACGTTTCGGTCCGTCCTGGACCATTCTCAAGTCGACTTGGGAATGATCATACTTTAGCCACGTTATTGTGACTCATCGCCTCATGACAATAACAATATTACACAATGATATTGCGCTGTGTAGCCCCCTCAGGAAGTCCCTTCCAGACAGTTAATATTAACCGCCCCCCCCCCACTCTGTCCGAGAAGTATTTCCAAGCATCAAGGTATCTTGAGTTATCTTGAGATGATTTCAGGGCTTTTAGTGTCCCCGCGGCCCAGTCCTCGACCAGGCCTCCACCCCCAGGAAGCACCCCTTGACAGCCGACTAACACCCAGGTACCTATTTTACTGCTAGGTAACAGGGGCATAAGGTGAAAGAAACTCTGCCCATTGTTTCTCGCCGGCGCCTGGGATCGAACCCAGGACCACAGGATCACAAGTCCAGCGTGCTGTCCACTCGGCTCCTCCTCGGCCGACCGGTATAAAATGTTGATGCACACACACTCTTACGGTTTTCGTTTAGTGAGAAATTCCTCTCGTGTCTTCCCTCCATTCCATCCTCCCATGTGTCACTATAGGTTGAAATCGTTCCAAAAATAAACATCCCCACACAAGAAAAACCTAATTATTATCTGAAAGTATTTTCGGTAATTCTCTCCAGCTGTGTTTTGCAGTTATGTTTACACGAAACAGTTACTGGTCAATTATCTTTACTGTACCAAGCGGGAATATTTTACCAATTACCTTTACTGGAGTGCACAACTTTTTATTATTTCTGGAAACATCTTCAAATGGTCGTTTTTGCAGTCTATCATCTCTCTTAACCACCTTCAAATTTGCATTCCAACCTGTTGATGACAAAATAAAAATAAAAATTAGTATCCATTAAGTAAATAATCCCGTCTCAATAACTCCTATTCTTTTAAAAGTAAGATTGTGAAAATTTAAATTACTGCATTACAAACAAGGGTATGTGGATTTAAAGCAGTTAGTGCTTAAATAACAAATCTATTTCAGAGTTGATATAGCTACAGTGCCATGCTATGCCCAAAAACATTCATACTTGCACAAAATGTACACAAATTACACATGCCCAATATTCATACTCACAGTGACCACAACTACTTGACCAGAGCTCATGATCAAACCACACATCAAAAAGATGGAGAAACGACGACATTTCAGTCCGTCGAGGACCATTACCGTATCAAGTCATGTACTCGCCTAATTGTGTTTGCGGGGGTTGAGCTTTGTCTCTTTGGTCCCGCCTCTCAACTGTCAATCAACTGGTGTACAGATTCCTGAGCCTACTGGGCTCTATCATATCTACATTTGAAACTGTGTATGGAGTCAGCCTCCACCACATCACTTCCTAGTGCATTCCATTTATTAACTACTCTGACACTGAAAAAATTCTAACATCTCTGTGGCTCATCTGGGTATTAAGTTTCTACCTGTGTCCCCTTGTTCGTGTCCCACCCGTGCTGAAGACTTTGTCTTTGTCCACCCTGTCAATTCCCGAGAATTTTGTAGGTGGTTATCATGTCTCCCCTTACTCTTCTGTTTTCCAGGGACGTGAGGTTCAGCTCCTTTAGCCTTTCCTTGTGCTCATTCTGGAAGAAATTTTCACTCATTTCTGGAAGAAAATGCAGAATAGAACCAGTGAAGAGCAGGGGTGCCATAGGCACAATCAGAAAACACTGTATAAACATCAGAGGTCCGCGGTTGTTCAACACCCTCCCAGCAAGCATAAGAAATATTGCCGGAACAACCGTGGACATTTTCAAGAGGAAACTAGATTTATTCCTCCAAGGAGTGCCGGACCAACCGGGCTGTGGTGGGTATGTGGGCCTGCAGGCCGCTCCAAGCAACAGCCTGGTGGACCAAACTCTCACAAGTCAAGCCTGGCCTCGGGCCGGGCTTGGGGAGTAGAAGAACTCCCAGAACTCCATCAACCAGGTATCAAGCCGGTATCATTACTCTCAGTTCCGGGATGTGTGTCTTGTCCTGTTGACCAGAGCTCATGACCAAACCACACACCAAAAAGATGGAGAAACATCGACATTTCAGTCCGTCGAGGACCATTACCGTATCAAGTCATGTGCGCATCTTGTCCTGTTGACCAGAGCTTTTACAAAGTTCTAATTTTTGCAGTTTTGGCTTCCCCAATGCAGAGTAACTTTTCTACACTGGACATTGTATCATAACTAAGTAACCAATTGAAATCTACAGTGATATCACAACTTGATAAGGGGGGTCCTGGATGGACTGAAATTTCATCACTTTCATTTCATTTCACATGTGAGAGTTGGGTCGTTAATCAAATGCAGTGTTTTTTAACCAGGGTTCTGCAGAACTCCAAGGTAACTATGGGGTCTGCAAGAGAGAGTGATAAATGGGCTAATTCTAATCATGTGCAAATGTAATTTTTAGTCATTTTGTGTTGAATTTTTCTCATTTAACCAGTATCAAGAGCAAAGACAAATTCTCTCCTTTCAGTTGACAATAAAAGCCGTGTGCGCGCATTCATCTAAAGTACGACCTGGAATTATTTCAAGGGTACAAAGATTTAGAAATGCTGATCTGACTTTTGGGAGGATATTGATCGAGGTACAGGAGCAGGTACTGAAATAATAACTCTCTGACCAAATCACACACACTAGAAATTAAAGAGACGACGACGTTTCGGTTCGTCCTGGACCATTATCAAGTCGATTGTCTTGACAATCGACGTGATAATGGTCCAGGATAATTCATCCAGTTCATCCAGTTGAACTGGATGAATCCATCCAGACCCTTTATCCATCCATCCAGTCCCTCCATCCATCCAGTTCTTCCATCCATCCAGTCCCTCCATCCACCCCCTATCCATCCATCAAGTCCCCTCACCATCCATCCATCCAGTCCTCTATCCATCCATCCAGTCCCCTCACCATCCATCTTGGGACCCATGGTGTGATATATAATAAGAACTTTACTGTTCAGAAAACAAAAAATCAGAAAAACAATGAAATTCTTTACAAAGAATTCAAGCGCAGTGGTCACTAGGCAGGATACACTGGTAAACAACCGAGTAGTTACCCAAGTGTAGTTACCTAAGTGTAGTTACAGGATGAGAGCTACACTTGTGGTGTCCCATCTCCCCAGCACACTCTGTCATATAACGCTTTTAAATTACTGACGGTTTTGGCCTCCACCACCACCTCACCTAACTTGTTCCAACCATCTACCACTCTGTTTACAAAAGTGAATTTTCTTATATTTCTCCGGCAAATTTGTTCCGTTAGTTTAAATCTATGATCTCTTGTTCTTGAAGTTCCGGGTCTCAGGAATTCTTCCCTATCAATTTTATCGATTCCTGTTACTATTCCTGTTACTGGAAAAGGTGCATGTCGTTGCACCTTTTCCAGTTTGTTGATGTGCTTCTTAAGATATGGGCACCATACAACCGCTGCATATTCCAGCTTTTGTCTAACAAAAGTTGTGAACAATTTCTTTAGTATTTCTCCATCCATGTATTTAAAAGCAATTCTGAAGTTAGAAAGTGTAGCATAGGGTCCTTGCACAACGTTCTTAATGTGGTCCTCAGGTGACAGTTTTCTATCAAGACCCACCCCTAGATCCCTTTCTTTGTCAGAATTCTTTAAAGATTTCTCACATACAGTAATTTATAGGTTGTGTGGGGTCTATGTTCTCCAATTCCACATTCCATAACATGGCATTTATTCACATTAAATTCCATTTGCCAAGTGTTGCTCCATATACTTATTTTGTCCAGGTCTTCTTGAAGGGCATGACAATCATCTAGGTTTATCTTCCCTATTATCTTAGCATCATCAGCAAACATGTTCATATAATTCTGTATTCCCACTGGTAGATCGTTTATGTAGACAATGAACATTACCGGTGCAAGAACTGAACCCTGTGGTACTCCATTCGTGACATTCCTCCAATCCGATACCTTGCCTCTGATTACAGCCCTCATTTTTCTGTCAGTTAGGAAATTTTTCATCCATGTTAGAAGCTTACCTGTCAACCCTCCAATATGTTCGTTTCCAGAACAACCTCTTATGGGGAATTCTGTCGAAAGCTTTTTAGGTCCAGATAGATACAGTCAACCCAACCATCTCTTTCCTGTAAAATCTCTGTGGCTCAATCATAAAAACTGAGTGAGTTCGTTACACAGGATCTTCCAGATCGAAAACCATACTGTCTGTCTGATATTATATCGTTTTTCTCCAGGTGTTCTACCCATTTAGTTTTAATTATTTTTTCCAGTATTTTGACTATTACACTTGTCAATGATACAGGTCTATAATTAAGGGGGTCTTCCCTACTTCCACTTTTATAGATTGGAACTATGTTAGCCTTTTTCCACACATCAGCTACAACTCTTGTAAACAGGGATGCCTGAAAAATCAGTTGAAGTGGAATGCTTCTTCTACAGCTCTTTCTGACCTAGATGTTATCTCCTTCTCTTTGCAACCAAAAATTATCAGGGACTTACTCCAATCAACTGTTTTGCACCAACTTCGGGTTAGATAACAAAAATTCCTTTCTCACTTCCATCCTAATGTTTGTTTTATCTTGGTTGCTGCAGTATTATCTTGATATGTTATCTTGATATATGCAGTATTATCTTGAATGCGCCTCGCCTTGTGCCCAGCACTCACTTGACCCATACACGTATCAACAGACGTCATATTCCAGGTAAAATGTCTTACACCAATTCAAATTTTACGATGAATTTGACATCATATACAGTACCAAAAAATTCATACTCTAGGGCAGTCATACACCAAGGTACCACTGTATTACCGAGTACAGAAGGTTCAACTAAGCATATTTTCATTGAAAGCCACTCGAGGGAAATGTGGTTTCCAATTGTTGGGGAGAAGCAGCATGAGGCTGTAATCCAGGATAGATACCTAATTCCTGGGTATCCATTGACTGCCATATGAACACAGGCATCAGGTAAAGCTAAACATGACCAAATGAAACTATCCTGCTGTGGCAATTGAATCCGGGATCTTTTGGTCGTGAATGGACATAGCAGACTACTGCACTACAGGAATCTGTGTGCGGATATATCTCGCAATATACAATGGGGCCTTTACTTACAATGGTAGTCCGTTCCCAGAGACGGATCGTAAGTCGAAGCGATTTTTCCCATAAGAAATAAAGGGAATTGAATTAATCTGTTCCCCACCCTTCAAAATATTAACTTACAAATACATTTTATACCGAATACAACTTTGTTCTCTAACTGCAATACAGTACAAATGTTTATCTTACCGTTATGGAGGACTCTTGATGGTATATGGAAGATGGTGAGCAGGGGGGGAGGAGGGGGGTTACTGTTTGGAAGGGGAGTCCCCTTCCATTATAACATCAGGCAGTGATGACTTTTCTGGGATACATTCTCTGGCATGTTTTACCTGCACACCACTAGGATCTGCTTGTGGCTCGCTGCTTGCTTGTCTTACTAAGAATCTGTCTAACAACACTTTTTTTCCCTACACTTTAACACTTGTCTGTAGTAAGACATCACATTGTCATTTAAAAGGTCAATGCAACGGCCTGCTACAGCTTTATCTAGGCGAGTTTTTTGAACAAAACTTTGCAGTTCTTCCCATACTTTACACATTTTCTTAATGAGGAAGGGATATCCTTTACTGCCTCAACTCTCAACTATTTTCTTAGGTTGAACCTTACCACTGACTTTCTGCGACCCATGGCGTGATATATAATAATCCTTTTTATGTTCAAAAAGCAAAAAAATCACCACAAAAATGGAATTTCTTATAGGCGTGATTGTCACTAAGCGGGCAGCTCTAGTAAACTGAGGCAGGTTGGCCCGCGTGACCAGGAACCACGCGCTCGGTCGACCCAAACGTGTACCAACAAGTATCGTTAGTCGACGACACTATCGTAACTCGAGTCGCATTTTTCGATGAAATTTACATCGTAACTCGAAATTATCGTAAGTCGGGGCAATCGTAAGTCGAGGTGCCACTGTATATAAAAAATTTCTCCCCTCCTGTTCACAGCCCATCCACTGGGACTGGCTAACACAGTAATAGCCTTGCTTCTTGCAGGGTCGGCATTCAATCCCTTATGATCTAACCGGTTCGATATCATTACTTCCCCCTTTCTCACATCCCATCTTGTCCTCGTATCCCTTCCAAGTGCTACACAGCCACATTGGCTTTGTGCTTTCATCTCTTAATTACCTTACCCCCACTATACTGTACATGTGTCAAAAAAATGACATAATAGAGGGGGGAGGGAGAGTGGTTGTGGGTGGTTGTTACATAGGGAAGGGAAAGTTGTAAATAATAAATCACATGTGCAGTGTGAACTAGAATTTCACTATCACTAGGACACTTCAGAACAACAACTCTACAAAGCTGTGTAATTACCTAAGTGTAGTTATAGGATGAGAGCTACGCTCGTGGTGTCCCGTCTTCCCAGCACTGTCATATAACGCTTTGAAACTACTGACGGTCTTGGCCTCCACCACCTCGCCTAATTTGTTCCAACCGTCTACCACTCTGTTTGCGAAAGTGAATTTTCTTATATTTCTTCGGCATCTGTGTTTAGCTAGTTTAAATCTATGACCTCTTGTTCTTAAAGTTCCAGGCCTCAGGAAATCTTCTCTATTGATTTTATCAATTCCTGTTACTATTTTGTATGTAGTGATCATATCACCTCTTTTTCTTCTGTCTTCTAGTTTTGGCATATTTAATGCCTCTAACCTCTCCTCGTAACTCTTGCCCTTCAGTTCTGGGAGCCACTTAGTAGCATGTCTTTGCACCTTTTCCAGTTTGTTGATGTCTTAAGATATGGGCATCACACAACCGCTGCATATTCTAGCTTTGGCCTAACAAAAGTCGTGAACAATTTCTTTAGTATATCGCCATCCACACATATACACACACCGTGTGTGTGTGTGTGTGTGTGTGTGTTTTGTTGGTAATTTAATTCAGTCCTAACCTTATATAAAACCTGTCTCTGCTGAAAACAAATTAACTTACCGGTTTTATGTTTCTTGGAAATCCACCCAGTCTCCGATTCATCGAGCAAATAGCACTGAAGATTTGAAGGGTCGGCTTTCTGTCAAAAATTTTGCATTAATTGAAACTACATACAAGAAGAAATCTATATTTATAAGAAACTAACACTACAAATATATTAAGAATATATTAAGAAAATATTAAGACTGCACGATGGGATTGAACCCACATCCCTGAATTCTTCAGGAGCAAGCACTTCAACAACGCAGGTTCGATCCCATCAAACAGCTTCAGTATCTTCTCATAGGTATATCACATTAGTCTGACTTCATTGTTCACTAATATAGTATTCAAATATTTTATACATTCTTGTGCGACTAAAATAATCCATAAAATTATTATACTCTGTAAATGTAATTGTGATTAGCATCAATGCAAACAATTTGCAATTGCATTCGTTTATAACCTATGGCACATAAATGCACCTATCCAGGAAAAGACTAGGTGTTACCAGCACACTCCAAAAGGTGCAGTGATAATATATCTACCATTACAAAAATTTTAGCACTAAATAACAGATTTCAGTTTGGGAGAAAAAGGATGAGAAAGATTGCATAATGTTTGGTAAAACTTCCATTGTGATACAAATCTGGCATTTCAGGATCAATATTGCTTATTTGCAGCCAAAAATAACTTATCACCTAACCCAAAGATATGAAATAAAATGAGAATGAAAATGTTTTTATCCATCCTGGTCCCCTTATCAAGTCATGACAAATCACTTTCATTTTATTTCATACTTGAGAGTTTGATTACATGTCCAGCACACAATGGCCACATTATTGAGACTTGGGGGATCTTCTGCAAAAATTACCGGGTACATGCTCGATTAAGTTTTTATATTAGAATGGTAGAAGTGTAATTCTATCGTTAAGATGCCTTACTTCCCTCCTGGGAGTTAACTAATATAGCACGGCCACAGCAGAATTTTCTCCAAGTGAAACTAAGTCAAACATGATGACTAAACTGCACACCAGAACATGAAGAGAAGACATGATGTCGGTCCATCCCGGACCATTATCAAGTCATCATATTTGTGGCTTGGTCATCATATTTTCAGCCACGTTATTGTAACTCATTGTTTGCACAAGTCACGCATCTAACAGAGAAGTTCCATATAAACATTCACAAGCCAGTTTCAAGCAGAGACTACACAACTGAAGACCAAGTAGATTATCCAAGATGCATAAACGTTAACTTCTCCTTTTCCCAGCTCATTGTCCTCATATTTTTCCTAAGTGCTTTATAGTCATATTGGCCTAGCACTTTCTCCTCACAATGACCTACCTACTTTCCTTTATCTTGTTATTGTACGGGACAACAGTGAAAAACACTAAACAGCAGACAGCCAACATAGTTTTTACAAGAAAACCTTAATGTGCCAAAGAATTTGTTATTTAGTATTTTTTTGTGTTTAACATCTTTCATTACCAAATATTGCTACCCATTTTATCCACCATAATGCTTCCTCACCCCCTGAAAAGCAGCACAATTTATAATCCAATAACGAAGAATAAAGAAAACAAAATTGCTTACCAACACAAGAGTATCCTTGATGAAGTTGATACCGACAACTGGAGTGACGCTTCCCACCACCGATCTGACTTCGGGTAAGGTGTTATGATCACTTATGACTAAATCAACATTCGATATTTGGTCCAATTGAACCACTTCAGCATCCCCAGCAGCCACAATCCTGTATAAAAATGTGCAATTAACACCTACAAGCTGCAGAATGTGGTAACTAATTTCACGTTAATTAATGGAAGTGTGGCAATGATAATGTATAAATGAATGAAAGTTAGCAAAATACATTCATCAAAGTTAACACTTTCGCTGCCCGATGCTGCATATTCTGTCATAAAACCAAAATACTTAGTATGCCCGATGATGCAAACGGTGTCAAAAATTTTCAAATGTTTAAAAATTCCATTTATTGTCCGAATACTATAGGACATGTTTTAAAATGAGCAACTTCTTCCCATTCTCTGTATACCCCATGTGGCATCCTGACCCTGCCATGTTACCGCCCACCCACGCTAGAGGCTCAATGTTCTCGTGATCTGCCCTAGAGTAGAAAAGTTTCCCATTTTGATTATTTTATCTCGGATAAGTGTTGTTACCGGCTTTATAAACACAACAAATTGACTTCCAGATGGATACTGAACAAGAACAGAGCCAATCCATGACAAAAACAGTGATGTTGACCAGACCACACAATAGAAGGTGAAGGGTTGACGACGTTTCGGTCCGTCCTGGACCATTCACAATCAACTTGAGAATGGTCCAGGACGGACCGAAACGTCGTCGTCCCTTCACCTTCTAGTGTGTGGTCTGGTCAACATACTTTAACCACGTTATTGTGACTCATCGCCTTAAAAAACAGTGAAACATGTATGAAGGTGGGGGAAAGTTATCGAGTTTTCGTCGAAAGTACAATATAGAAAAGTGAGACTTGTATGTTCTTATGTATATGCAAATATTCCTTTACAGTACAGCATTCTATTGCAAACAATTTGATACTAACTTGAACAATGTAGCACAAAAGTTTAGGTCAGGAAGCTAAAAAGAATATAAACATTTGTGGGTGGTGGCGAGTTCACGCGCACCGCTCTGGCTACCTTGAGGTGTGCGGCAGGTCGCCCACCAGGGCAGCGAAAGTGTTAAAACAAGATAACGGTCCAGCCAGTGGAGGTATCTGGTATACCTGCTCTATTATAGCACAACCTATGACAGTATTTTCATGGGGGTAGGGGGCAGGGGTGGAGCAGGTGGGCAGAGGGGGGGGGGGGGCAGGGAGACATGGGGGCAGAGGGGGGGGGCAGGGAGACATGGGGGCAGAGGGGGGGCAGGGAGACATGGGGGCAGGGGGGGGGGGGAGGGAGACACGGGGGCAGGGGGGGGGGGGGCAGGGAGACACGGGGGCAGGAGGGCACTGGGACAGGGGGGGGGGGGGCATGGGGCATCAGCCAGAAGATAAAAGCAAATAAAATAGTGAAAGGTTCCAGACATTATGAAAGAAAAATATCAGTCATCCGTATGTTATGCAAGTCACACATCCTCATCATCACTGATAAACATGCACCACCACACACCAGCAGTCAGTATTTGTATTAAATTCAATATTTTATCTCTAGTCCTGATGCAACACACACAGCTTGGGTTTTTGTAGGATCACTAATTGATTCCTGTTCCTTCCTCCCTTCCCCCCCCCATCTGCCTATCCCAGCTCCTCCTCATATTCCTTTCCGGTGCTGTATGGTCATAATGGCTGAGCACTTACCCCTTTATAGTTCCCCTTCACTTTCCTCCTAGAAAATCCCCATTAGGGGCAGTGGAGCAGTTGATCACAGCGGAAGTTTCTTAAAAAGACACTCGCCTTGCTAGCCTTCGACTCTTTCAACCTCCCCAATCCCCCACCCCATTGCTTTTACAGAAAGAGTTGATCAGTCATGAAATTGCTGGATGATTTGAAACGTGGGTAATACACATATATGAGCAAATTTTGGTGGAGTATAAATAGGAGCTACGGGCACTTCCAACGGGACAACAGGCCTACTACAATTTCCCCAAATCTTATTCACAGTAAACAATGTTACCTTCGAAATGATCTACTCATGCTCTTATCCTTCAGAAACACGTATATGGTCCATCCTGAATAGATCCCTCTCCCAGTTTCCTCCTTCCGTTTGCGGCAATATTTGGCCACTTCACCGTGGTTTCTGAGCTCATAATCCGACTCCTCTAGCCAGCAGCCTTTCTGGACACACTGTTTGACATAGTCAGGATTCACCAACCACTTTCCTGAGAAAGAAAGAAAATTCAAGTAAGATTTGGCCAATGTGGCTATGAAACACACCAAATATCACCAAATAACAAGTAGGAAAATTTGATAAATAAATGACAAACTATTAAGCACAAATGAGAAAAATATAAATTAACTCCCAATATTGGGAACAGAAGGCCTGTACTTCGGCTTATCAACGTCACCCCCCGTAGGCCATTTACTGACCCTCCCCCCACCCCAGAATGCAACCCCACTACAGATGACTATCTCACGGGTACTTATTTTAATGCTAAGTGAACAGAGGCATTGGGTGAAGGGAAACATACCCAATCATTTCTGTTCTACCCAGGAATCGAACCGAGGATTCTCGATTCCAGGAAAGAACAAATTATCAAGAGATACTGTATGGAGCAGCATTTCTCAATCTGTGTACGTTTGAAATAATTTCTGGTTGTACATTACATAACCATGCATTGATTCATTGTCAACTGAAAGGAGATGATTTCTGTCTTTGTTCTTGATACTGGTTAAATGAGAAAAATTATACCGACTCAAAAATACATTTGCACATGATTAGAATTTGCCTATTTATTACTACAGAAACCCCAATCTTCACCTGATCTAAAGGGTTCTGCAAGAAGCCCTTAGTTACCTTGGGGTTCCGCAAGCCCCGGTTGAGAAACACTGGTATAGATATATTGTATGGGAAAATGTGACAATGTGAGTTAAGGAGTAATGTGGCAGCATACAATTTAATTTTAATTTTATGGAACAAGGTGGAAGAAACCAAGTTAAAGTACTTAAGTATTTTGAATAAAAAGAAAAGACAGTCATAGCTGTTAAATCTATAGCAACAGGATCAATTAGTTGTTAAGAAGCTGAATAAATTACTAAGCAACTGATACCACATAAAAATCTAACACTAAACCTAATGAAACACCTCTTTTTGGAGAGATCTCGGTGGCTCCCTGTAGCCATGTGGTGTCCAATTGCAGCGGTCTGTCGCTATCTGTGCGCTACCCTCCTTGCCCCCTGGGTGACACATTGAAACTAAAGGATGAATGACCTGACAACTAGGGGGGGGGAAGGGGGTCATTTTTATGGGGGTGGGTCATTTTCTGCTCTGCTCGCATTTACTTTGCTCACGTCAGTTTTATTCACTCTACCTTTCTGGAGGTTAGTTCCTTGGCGAGTGATCAGTTGATCCCTCTGGGTAAAGTTTTGACCTCTGGTTGGCTATTTATTGACTCGCAAAGGCCTGGGTATCTTTACAGGCATGGAGCTATCCAGTGTAGCATAGCTTCAGAGAGCGACCTAGTGGCCTCTTCTAGACATTCTCAGATTTGAGTAATATATGCAAATTCCAACTCATTTCATTACACAGTGAACACACACACACACACGCTCAGGTAATCACCATGGGCATGGGTCTTTAATGAGTCATTATGACCCCACAGAATTTGAGATTCATTGGTTCCAGACAGGGTCAACAAGACAATGTAAACTCGTGTGCATACAGTATTGTGCTATCGAGAAGAGCTATGTCAGGATCAAAGTTCAAGTCAAGGTCGTGTGCAATGAGGCTCATGTTATAGAAATTTGGGATCCATCTCGTTTGTGTTTGCTTAGGGTCCAGTACAGGCTTAATTTGACCTTAAAGCTACATATACTGTACGAGCCCTTGACCATTGCTTCTAACTTTTACACTCATTAGCTGGTAATATCACTCCATGCCATCTTTGCTTTTATTGACCAGCAATGTTTTTACGAGTTGTATGCCATGAGCACACTTGGATTTCCATAGTAACTCTTACTACCAATGAATGCCTCATGTGACTGCTTTCAGTAAATATTACAGATAATAAATCACAGTAAGGTGGCTGAAATAAACAATTTACCTCCACACTTGTGAAATGAAATGAAAATTATGACATAGTTCATATTGGACCCTTAATATACTACTTGATGGAAAGTCTAAGATGGATTGAAACGTCAACACTTTCATTTCATATACATGTAGGTTGGATTATTAATAAACATAATACAGTACTGTACTTTAAATTGTTTCAATAATTTCATTGCATGCAAATAAAACAAGTGAAACATCAACCTGGAGAAACTGACTCCTACTACACTTAAAATGTTTCCATGTTTTACTTTTTTTTAGATAGCTAAAGTGTTGATATATGTAGTATCCATACCTCCTGCTAGAGCTCCAAGAACCTTTTCGGTGGAGTTAAATTCTTTGGCAATGACGTGTGAACACATCTCTGTATATTGGTTGAGATCAGCTACCTTGCCACCCAATGCATTGATGCTTCGGTGAAGAAACAGCAGCTCCTCCCGATCTTGAATTCCCGAGATCATGAAACAGCGGAGGCCACCCCCCGGCCGACACAGTGACCTCGCTTCCATCGCTACAGTTACAGTCTCCTGAAATGAACAGATATGATTTTCAAAGAACGAACGAACTTTTGAATAATCATTAGGAACCTTCAAACTATGCAAAGGGTCAAAAGTCAATCAATCAGGTCACAATTGACTTGAGAATGGTCCAGGATGGACTGAAACGTCGTCATCCCTTCACCTTCTAGTGTAGTAGGGTCTGGGTCAACGTGATGCACACTAGCATACATCAAATAGTTACATGACATTGCATGACCAATTAATTAAATGTTACATTCACAAGAGACTAATAACCTAACCTCACTTGCCATAGCTAGACCCAAAATCCACATACTGTGAAGACCCAAAACAGTGATATTAACCAAAATATGCAGGGCAAGTTGATAAATTTAAGCTACATGAGCTTAAGTTAGCGCCCCCCCCCCCCCAAGTTCCACTGTCCGTCCATAATGCTATATTACACCACTCATTTGTAACACCATTTCACCTGTAAAATATGTACAAGATATTAGGACCTTCAGCGCCTTCAGCAGCCAGCACATCTGCTCATTCATTTCCACATATTCTAACATGGGAGGGGATCCATAGGAATTTGACAACTTCCCCGATTGGTTAGTACCCTTACAGCTCTCTCGATTTCAGCGATAATCATAAGATTTTCTTCCCGATTCTTTACGGAAGTTATGTAGTGCTGCTTTTGAATCCGTGCAGATTACTGCACCGTTAGTGTTTCTTTCAAGAAACGTTAACGCCTTAACAATGGCAGTTAGATCTGCTTGCGTTGAAAAGGCATAGTTCTCGATACGTGCTTTTTCTTCACTTGCATTTTGAAAGGCATTATTCCTAATGACAGTGTATGCTGCACCAGCCCTGCCATTGACAGGATTAGGATAACCCATCAGTGTAGATTTAATCCAATTCATTCCCAGCTTATTTATTTATTTTATATATATATATATATATATATATATATATATATATATATATATATATATATATATATATATATATATATATATATATATATATATATATATATATATATATATATATATATATATATATATATATATATATATATATATATATATATGTCGTACCTAGTAGCCAGAACGCACTTCTCAGCCTACTATGCAAGGCCCGATTTGCCCAATAAGCCAAGTTTTCATGAATTAATTGTTTTTCGGCTACCTAACCTACCTAACCTAACCTAAACTTTTTCGGCTACCTAACCTAACCTATAAAGATAGGTTAGGTTAGGTAGGGTTGGTTAGGTTCGGTCATATATCTATGTTAATATTAACTCCAATAAATAAAAATTGACCTCATACATAATGAAATGGGTAGCTATATCATTTCATAAGAAAAAAATTATAGAAAATATATTAATTCAGGAAAACTTGGCTTATTAGGCAAATTGGGCCTTGCATAGTAGGCTGAGAAGTGCGTTCTGGCTACTAGGTACGACATATTATATATATATATATATATATATATATATATATATATATATATATATATATATATATATATATATATATATATATATATATATATATATATATACACACACACACACACACACAAGAAGGTACATTGGGATTGTGAGGATACATAATATGGTAATTACACATAATATGGTAATTATACATTTCCTCAAGATACTTGTGCCTCATTTCTTGTGGTATCATATTGGACTTTTTCATTGTCATCTCGTTATGAGAGAATTATAATAATAATAAATAATAATAATAATAATAATAATAATAATAATAATAATAATAATAATAATAATTTATTTATGAACAGTACATACATAGTTGCAGAGTTACAGTACAAATATTGTTAGATTTAAAGATAGAGGTAATACATACAATACCTAAAGCCACTAGTACGCTATAGCGTTTTCGGGCAATTATGAGAATACTCGTAGATTATATGTTTTGACAGTTCTTGGGATAACAAGAATGATTATCATGGCTTCATTTGGTATATATAAATAAAAAAAAAGCTAAAAGTATACTCTCAAAGTAATAGTCTGGCGGAGCGCACATAGGCCGTGTACCAGCCTATTCAAATGAGCACATAGGCTTACAATGGCTCATTTGTAAGCCCGGGCACTATAGAGGCTCCATGCCCAGTCCAGGGCATAAGTGCCCCTATGAGTCGAGGGTTACTTATTCCTTGAGTCAAGCCGTTAGCGTCTTGGGACAACAAGACTTGGGTCTTGTAAGTCGCCTTAAATCATGCTTTCCTCAAGGTGAACCAGCTATATACTTAAGTCTCTGGCCTTTACACTCCTCCTGCCGTGCCCCGGGAGCCTCACTCACCCAAGACGAGCCCAAATGAGGTGGTAGAAGCCCAAATAAGGGAAGCCAGTTAGCCTGCCGTCGACATATCAACAGACCTTTCGTATATATGTTTATAATTACAAATTTCACTCCTGTCGTGTATTCGTACACGGGAATCTTTTCGTACACGTTTTTATTTTTTAAATAAATAAATAAATAAATGTTTATTTAGGTAAGGTACATACATAAAGAGATTTTACAAAGTTTGTTGAATTAATAAATAGAGCTAGTACATACAATGCCTAAAGCCACTATTACGCAAAGCGTTTCGGGCAGGAAAAACATTAATGACTAAAGCTTATGGTATGGTATTTGTGCTTGGGGCTCTACTACCCAAAATCATTTACGTCCTCTAATTACTCAACACAAAGCTGCTATTAGGACAATATCCAATTCTGGCCCCAGACATCACTCGGTACCCCTATTCAAATCCCTGAATATGTTAGACATTAAGTCACTGCACATTCTCTCATGTGTACTATACATATACAAAACGCTAAATTGTAATGCCAATCCTGATCTCAAAAGCTTCATAGAAGGTTGTAACAGAACCCATGAGCATCACACCAGAAATAAATACAGTTTTGATATTCCTAGAGTACGACTTAATCAAACCAGAAATGCTCTACAAATCAAGGGACCCAGAATGTGGAATGACCTTCCCAACCATGTTAAAGACTGTACCTCTCTCAACCAGTTTAAGATAAAAACTAAACACTACCTAATAAATTCTCTATTGTCAACCCATGTCTGTTATTTTCTTTTTTTTTAATCAACACTGTTTGTCAGCCTATTGTATTTGTGCTGCTTTTTCAGTCATGTTCCCCCTTTTTTTTATCTTTATTTGTATTTGTTCTCAACACTTTTTATTCTTTATGCTCAATTAGTATTAAGTTCTAGATATTAATGTTTTTCTTGCCCGAAACGCATTGCGTAATAGTGGCTTTAGGCATTGTATGTACTAGCTCTATCTATATATCAATCCATTAATGTAACATCACTTGTATGTATATGTACCTTACCTGAATAAACATCTGAATCTGAATCTTATTACTAATGGGTAAAAAGAATAAAATGTGTTGAGAACAAATAAAAATAGAGGTAAAAGAGGGGGGAACATGGCTGAAAAAGCAGAACAAATACAATTACAAATTATTACAGAAAATTACATTCAAACAGCGTTGTTTTGAAAAAAAAACATACATGGGTTTATTTATTTATTTATTTATATACAAGAAGGTACATTGTGTTTGTGAGAATACATAGCATAATATTTACAATCTTGTAAAGCCACTAGTACGCGCAACGGGTTCCGGCATTTATTTAATTTATTTATTTTAACTCGTGTGGGTACAGGAGTTGAGAATTTTTGACTAGTTAGCAGACGTAGAGATTTTATTTGCCATAGCTTAAGGCAAGTCTTTCCTTAAGTTTACTCTAGATCATAAGTCTAGAGGGGTCCCCGTGGTACAGTCGGGTTCGTTCTAGATTCACAATTTAAAATTCAAATTCAAATGTTTATCCAGGTAAAAGTACATAGATGAGGAGTTACAAACGTAATGGATTTATTGATAGAGCTAGTACATACAATACCTGTGGTATTAATAATAATTATATTAATAGTAATTATGCAGTCTCCGTGGTGTAGTGGTAAGACACTCGCCTGGCGTTTTGCAAGCGCTTTGTTCTGGGTTCGTATCCTGGCCGGGGAGGATTTTACTGAGCACAAATCCTTAACTGTAGCCTCTGTTTACCCAACAGTAAAATTGTTACCTGGTTAATTGTTAAACGATTTGGTGGTCCATATTCCGGGGAACATAGGATTAAGGACTTGCCCAAAATGCTACGCGTACTAGTGGCTGTACAAGAATGTAAGAACTCTTGTATACATAAATAATAATTATATATATACACACACACACACACACATACAATGGGAGAACACACACACACAGGTACACACGCGACAAGAGATGTGACAGGAAAACTAGGAAGGTGGGAGGAGTGGCTGTGCTGGTGAAAGAACACCTGAAGGTAAGAGAGTTAATAATCGAAAACCTTTGAAAAGTTGACACGTTGTCATTGCAGGTCTGGAATCGGGATGATAAACTGATAATCGTAAATGACTACAACCCACCAGCAAGCAACACATGGATAAATAGGAAGGGAATGTTCCGTCAGTACTGGATCTAATATTCACCATTAAAGAAGAAGGAGATATTTGACATCCCGTACCTTCCTCTCTTGGGAAAGAGTGATCATGTCTTGTTACCTTGAGGTGCTTCCGGGGCTTAGCGTCCCCGCGGCCCGGTCGTCGACCAGGCCTCTTTGTTGGAAATTAAATATGCTTTGCGATATATTCTAGAAAAGAATGGGGACATTGATACAGTTGATAAACTCGATTTCAAGAAAGGACACTATGAGGAACTTAGATAATTCTTTAATGAGTTTATTTGGACAGACTTATTGCTAAGCAAGAAAGTAAATGTATGCCAAATTTTGCGAAATATACGATCAAGGCACACAAACATTGAAACCAAAACAGAGATGCAGGACCAGAAAACAGATTTGGTTCAACAAACTGAGAGGGCCCGAGAGGAAAAGACGAGAAAATGGGTTCAGTACTGGAAGAGGCCTAACCCGCAAACATACCAGCATTACAGACAAGCAATTACACAAGAAACAATAACAAAGCAGTGAGAAGAGGCAAAAAGGAACTTTGAGAAAAGTATAGCGGACAAATGTAAAACAGATCCAGGCCTTTTCTATAAATTCATTAAAAGTAAGCTGCAGGTAAAGGATACAAGATCCAGAGATTGAGAACGGGGAACAGAACTACTGAGAATGAAAAAGAAATGTATGAAACACTAAATGAACAGTTCCAAAGTGTGTGTGTACAAAATGAGGATTTCAGAGATCCCGGTCCAAATACCAATTCCAAACCACACCATAGAGGTATCTTAAGACGAAGTGGAAGAATTACTCATGGGGTTAGGTAGAAATAAAACAGTTGGACCTGATGGAGTTTCACCGTGGGTGCTGCGAGAATGTGTAACCGAGCTGAGCATTCCACTCCAATTAATATTTCCTGATATCCTTGTGCACAGGAATCTTGTCAGATATATGGAAAAAAGACAATCCATAGTACCAATTTATAAAAATGGGTGTCGAGGGGAACCTCTAAACTATAGACCCATATCATTAACAAGCGTGGTAGTGAAAACACTAGAAAAAATAGTTAAAAGTCCAATGGATTGAACACCTAGAGAGTAATGACATAACTCCCGTAGGACCTGGCCGAAAAACTAAGATAGTGGCTGTACAAGAATGTAAGAACTCTTGTATATATAAATAACAAATCAAAATAAGGCATTACGGGCTCACCATAGCCCGTGCTACTTGGAACTTTGTTCCAGGTAGCAAATCTTTAACAGCAACAACAACAAATCAATTTTTTTATGGAATGTGGAATCGGAGAAAAATAGACCACCTACAAATTATGTGGAAAAGAATTACAGAACTCTAAGAATAAGACCTAAGGGTGGTCTTGGATAGTAAAGTTGTCGCCAGAGGAACACAAAGAACATGTAGACAAAGAGTATGTATAGTTCTTGACAAAGAACATGAGAGGAGAGTATGCCGTCGTGAACTAACAACATTCATCTTACCTTGAGCTTCGCGTCTCAGTTCCATCAGTTGAAGACACTTGTTAAGCACCTAAAAAATATAATACTTTCGTTATTGTACATAACTGAGTATACATCATGATAATTTCATTACTCTCGCCCTTTATATAATGATCGAGTGTAATTGCCCAATGGAAGACCTTTTTGCCCGAAAGTCGAAACACTTTGTATATTACAGTAACTTAACTAAATATGCATTTTTCTGTATAGAATATAAATCTTTGTATATTTTTCAAATAAAATTATTATATTTCTTCGTTTTCGACTTGCGAGGCTAAGGTTAGGCATGAATGATATCTTAAAATATATATAAAAATGTTATATAGACAGTATATATAGTGTCCTTTAACATTTACCTAACCCAAAGGTTTTAATTAGTTAGCCTAAGCATTTTGTATACCAATTTGAAATTAACCATTAAATTGATATAAAAAATGCTTAAGCTAGCTCATCCTAACCCTTGCACAGAAGCCCTGTCCCAAATTCAAATTCAAAATTCAAATGTTTATTCAGGTAAAAGTACAAACATTGAACATGTGTTACAATGTTGGATTTATAGGGGAGCCGGTCGGCCGAGCGGACAGCACGCTGGACTTGTGATCCTGTGGTCCCGGGATCGATCCCGGGCGCCGGCGAGAAACAATGGGCAGAGTTTCTTTCACCCTATGCTCCTGTTACCTAGCAGTAAAATAGGTACCTGGGTGTTAGTCAGCTGTCACGGGCTGCTTCCTGGGGGTGGAGGCCTGGTCGAGGACCGGGCCGCGGGGACACTAAAGCCCCGAAATCATCTCAAGATAACCTCAAGATTATAGATAAAGCTAGTACATACAATACCTAAAGCCGCTAGTACGCATAGCGTTTCGGACAAGGTGTGGGGAAATAAACAAATTTAATACTAATTGAGATTAAAGTATAAATTGTGTTGAAAGCGGGGGGGGGGAGGAAATGGCAGAAATCAGTAATTAAACAAGTTGTTCAACAAACAGTATTGTTTTAAAATAGAAAGACACGGGTTGAAATTTAGGGGGTAAGGTAGGTTACAGGGAGTTAATTAGGCAGAACTTAGTTTTTCCTCAAACTGGTTGAGAGGGGTACAGTCTCTGACACGATTGGGAAGGTCATTCCATATTCTGGGTCCCTCGATTTGTAGAGCATTTCTAGTTTGGTTAAGGCGCACTCTTGGAATATCAAATAGGTATTTGTTTCTGGTGTGATGCCCATGGGTTCTGTTACAACCTTCTAGGAAGCGTTTAGGGTCAGGATTGGCTTTACAGTTCAGTAGTACACTTAAGAAGATGTGCAGTGACTTAATATCTAACATTCAAAGATTTAAGTAAGGGTACCGAGTGCTATCTGGGGCCAGAGTTTGATATTGTTCTAATAGCAGCTTTGTGTTGAGTAATTAGAGGACGTAGATGATTTTGGGTAGTAGAACCCCAAGCACAAAATGGATAACTGGAACTGAACTCAGAATGTATCAGATTTATAATTTGTACCAAGAGACAATTAAAACAACGGCCCTTTCCTGCACCGTGGGAGATTACACCCTTTCCAGTTTTAATCCCTCCCTTTCCACCCAAGAAGCAAATTAGAGATCAGCCCAAGCTTCGTCTTGAGGCAAAGCTCAACGCCTTAAGCCATATTGATGCTCTGTCCACAGAGTATTTTCTCTCTCAAATCAGATTCAGATTCAGATGTTTATTCAGGTAAGGTATATACATACAAGTGATGTTACATTAATGGATTGATATATAGATAGAGCTAGTACATACAATGCCTAAAGCCACTATTACGCAATGCGTTTCGGGCAAGAAAAACATTAATATCTAGAAGTTAATACTAATTGAGCATAAAGAATAAAAAGTGTTGAGAACAAATACAAATAAAGATAAAAAAAAGGGGGAACATGACTGAAAAAGCAGCACAAATACAATAGGTTGACAGTGTTGATTAAAAAAAAAGAAAATAACAGACATGGGTTGACAATAGAGGAGTGAGGTAGGTTACAGGGAATTTATTAGGTAGTGTTTAGTTTTTATCTTAAACTGGTTGAGAGAGGTACAGTCTTTAACATGGTTGGGAAGGTCATTCCACATTCTGGGCCCCTTGATTTGCAGAGCATTTCTAGTTTGATTAAGTCGTACTCTAGGAATATCAAAACTGTATTTATTTCTGGTGTGGTGCTCATCGTAATCATACACACTGATGGTTCCCTATCATACACACTGATGGTTCCCTACACCGCACCACGGGTGCAGCTGGAAGTGCAGTTGTCCTAACAATTTGCGATGGCTTATATTTTGAGTGGGAAGTCCGTATAAACAACTGGACCTCAACCCTTCAGACCGAACTATTTCCCTTGCTTTTTGCACTGAAATGTGTTCGGGGATTCACGATTTTGCATCAATGACGTAGCCCACTGTGCCACAGGATATGACAATCCCTCCATTACCCGCCAATACACTAATCCAATCACTAGAAAGAACCTGGTAAGCATTATATACCACCCTTTACTTAGAATGGAAAATACATGGCGAGTATTATCAAACTACTGTACCCTTAATGCCAAAATGCAATAGTTTGTGCTCATACCATTACAAAGCACCGTAGCTGTTTAATATCACAAAAAACGTAATAAAACAACTTAATAGGGTAAACACTTCTATTATCACCTCTCTTAAAACTAAATTCCACCTACACTCAAACTGGCTTATATATACATTTTTCCGATAAAATCTTAATTCAAAACTTGACATTACCAGATTGCGTGTCTTTAAAAAATTACTGCCGTAGTTGGGGACAGGCAGACTGTATTTAAGCTTATCTAAGTCCCCCTCTTCCCCCTAGGGGTCAACTACTGACCTTTCACAGGACGCAAACCACAACAGTTGTTTAACTACCAGGTACCTATTTACTGCCAGGGTGAACAGAGGCATCAGGATTGAATCCGGGTCCCTAGATTATGCACCGAGGACGTCGCCCACTGTGCTAGTGGGACGCTCCTCTAATCATGTTGATCATACTAGCTAATCTCTCAGAATCATGCTCATCATACTAGTTAATGTCTCAGAATCATGCTCATCATACTAGTTAATGTCTCAGAATCATGCTCATCATACTAGCTAATCTCTCCGAATCACGCTCATCATACTAGCTAATCTCTCCGAATCATGCTCATCATACTAGTTAATGTCTCAGAATCGTGCTCATCATACTAGCTAATCTCTCCGAATCATGCTCATCATACTAGTTAATGTCTCAGAATCGTGCTCATCATACTAGCTAATCTCTCCGAATCATGCTCATCATACTAGTTAATGTCTCAGAATCGTGCTCATCATACTTGCTAATGTCTCAATCGTGCTCATCATACTAGTTAATGTCTCAGAATCATGCTCATCATACTAGTTAATGTGTCAGAATCATGCTCATCATACTAGTTAATGTCTCAGAATCATGCTCATCATACTAGCTAATCTCTCAGAATCGTGCTCATCATACTAGTTAATGTGTCAGAATCATGCTCATCATACTAGTTAATGTCTCAGAATCATGCTCATCATACTAGTTAATGTCTCAGAATCATGCTCATCATACTAGTTAATGTCTCAGAATCATGCTCATCATACTAGTTAATGTCTCAGAATCATGCTCATCATACTAGTTAATGTCTCAGAATCGTGCTCATCATCCTAGCTAATCCCTCCGAATCACGCTCATCATACTAGCTAATCTCTCCGAATCACGCTCATCATACTAGCTAATCTCTCCGAATCACGCTCATCATACTAGCTAATCTCGGAATCACGCTCATGATACTAGCTAATCTCTCCGAATCACGCTCATCATCCTAGCTAATCCCTCCGAATCACGCTCATCATCCTAGCTAATCTCTCCGAATCACGCTCCTCATCCTAGCTAATCTCTCCGAATCACGCTCCTCATCCTAGCTAATCTCTCCGAATCACGCTCATCATCCTAGCTAATCCCTCCGAATCACGCTCATCATCCTAGCTAATCCCTCCGAATCACGCTCATCATCCTAGCTAATTTCTCCGGATCATGTGCTCATCATACTAAGCGCATTCCTTCGTTCACTTCACTAAACCCTTACAATGAATTCTCACTATTAATATTTTCCCCGTATTTAAATGAATCAAAATTTCTTAGATTTTGATTATGAAGTCCTATTTGAAACCTTGGAACCACGGAATGGCCATTAAGGCCAACCATCGGTAGAAAACAGCCAGTTCTCCCGAATTGCAACTCCGTTACAAATACAACGGTTTTGCCTGAATTCAAAAATTCAAAATTCAAACTACAGAGGTACAAACTCATTCAACTCACCTATCAAGGCCAATGGTTTAGAGAGCGTCAATATTAACGCATTTGAACGTTTACTAATGCGTTTAAATTTAAGCGGGTTGGTCTACTCCGTAAAAAAAATGCGACGGTTTTAATTTTACAATGTTGGCGGCAGAAAAAGACCCTCACGGATATATTTTGATCTAATATGTACAAATATCAACGATAACGCCGCAAATATTAAATCCCCCCGAGGGGAATACGACTTAAAATGTTTTAATTTAATAAACAATTATGTATTTTTAACGCTAATTTATACTCACAGTTGCTCAATTTCTCTCGCTCCGGCGCTGCCACATCTACAAGTGCTACTGTGGACTCCATGGGTCACCGGACGCGCCACTCACCCTTAATAAACTATAACACCAAAACTGGCAACCTACTTCTCAGTTGAGCTTCTGATCGCCAGAGGCGCCAAAGGTTGCCTAATTGTTACGTCGTCTAGTTAATGGTTGTTAGAGTTGTTATTGCAATTTCTTTATTTATTTATTTATATACAAGAAGGTACAGTTTTTCATGCCCGAAACGCTTTGCGTAATAGTGGCTTTAGGCATTGTATGTACAGTACTAGCTCTATCTATAAATCCATCATTCTTTGTAAAATCTCTTGTATGTATGTACCTTACCTAAATAAACATTTATTTATTATTTATTTATTTATTATTTATTTATTTACATTGGGATTGTGAGGATACATAGCATAGTAATTACATTCTTGTAAAGCCACTAATACGCTCAGCGTTTCGGGCAGAAATTAAGTGTATTCTTGAATAATTTCGGCAAATGAGGAATGGTATTAGTGTAAATAATAATAATAATAATAATAATAATAATAATAATAATAATAATAATAATAATAATAATAATAATAATAATAATAATAATAATAATAATAATAATAATAATAATAATAATAATAATAATAATAATAATAATAATAATATATGCCTGTTTTAATATTCAATTTTCTGCCAGACAATTTGTTATAATCTGTGTATTTGTTCTTTAATTGTTATTATAGTTACCCCCAGTTGTAATATTTAATAGAAAACGTGTACTGAAACCTGTCCTCTCACTTAATACTTCGCTTTTGTAACGAAATTGACCAATTGGTTAAAAATGAGGTGTATTATCAAACGCTGTAGCGCCGTAATATTTACGAATTTTGTGAAACAGCCTCGATAGGTTAGGTGGGTTGCTTGGGTGCGTATGTTTCTGGTTAGATGAGGGGAACCGGTCGGCCGAGCGGACATCACGCTGGACTTGTGATCCTGTGGTCCTGGGTTCGATCCCAGACGCCGGCGAGAAACAATGGGCAGAGTTTCTTTCACCCTATGCCCCTGTTACCTAGCAGTAAAGTAGGTACCTGGGAGTTAGTCAGCTTTTACTGAGATTAAAAACCCTGTTTCCTCTACCAATTTAAAAGAGAAACTAAGAAATATATAATTAACATCCTCAAAAAAATTTCCTCATCGAAAATAAGTCAATTTTGTGTTTTGCTCTGACTATAAATTTTAAATTTTAAAATTAAAAACATAAAATATAACAATTAAAATATTTCTATTAAAATATTAAAGTTATACCGCTGTTAAAACTACAGAATATGTAATAATCTGTTAATATATTCTATACTCATATTCTTACAAGAATGTAAGAACATTCTTACAAGAACAAGTTCGTACATTCTTACAAGAACAAGTTCGTACATTCTTACATTCTCACAAGAACGTAAAAACTCTTGTATATACCAATTAAACAAAATATATGACAGCTCCTGGTTTTGTATTTCCCCATCAAACTTATAACTAATTTATAAATAATTTATAGGTACTGATAATTTCATTTACAAGAATGTTGATGAGTTCATTTACCTGTATTTTCACCCTTAATTGGTGTAAAAAACCTGATATAGTTGTAAATTTTCATTTTAATCTCATAGTCAGTGAGAGAGAGAGAGAGAGAGAGAGAGAGAGAGAGAGAGAGAGAGAGAGAGAGAGAGAGAGAGAGAGAGAGAGAGAGAGAGAGAGAGAGAGAGAGAGAGAGACAGACAGACAGACAGACAGACAGACAGACAGACAGAGAGAGAGAGAGAGAGAGAGAGAGAGAGAGAGAGAGAGAGAGAGAGAGAGAGAGAGAGAGAGAGAGAGAGAGAGAGAGAGAGAGAGAGAGAGAGAGAGAGAGAGAGAGAGAGAGAGACAGACAGACAGACAGAAAGAGAGAGAAAGAGTGAGTTAAGAGTTAGGATAGGGGAGTCCCCCCTGCTGGCAACTGGTGTTGACACAAATGATCAGGTAACCCTCACCCAATATACCCTTCCCGCACCCTGCCCATCCCATCCCCCTATCCCATCCCTTCCCCCCATGCCTCATCTGTCACCCACAATCACCTCAACAAGTCCACCCATGCAGCTAGTCTCCCATGCTCTCCCAGGAGTCATTTTAAATTAATTTTTTTGTCACGTTTTCTTTAGTGGGGTATTTTCTAATTCTAATTACCGGTAGTATTGAAGCGTCACTCCAAAGTAATTCCCAGCCTCATTTATGAGTATTTTAAAGCCTCATTCATGAGTATTTTAACGCTTCATTTATGTGTGCTTTAAAGCTGCATTAATGGGTATTTTCAGGCTTTGTTCATGGGCATTTAAAATGGGTTTATTCATTTTAAGATCGTGAATGAGTTTTTTTCCGGGTTCTGTAATGGATATTGCTGTCTTAAACAATCAGTATTCTTCAGACTAAAAATATTAATATCAATATTATCCCCAATATTTTCATTTAGTATGAATATTTATTGTGTCTTGTATTATTATTATTATTAATATTATTATTATCTTTGTTCTAATTTATTTTCATATTACCAGTAATTCTAGTTATTATCGACACTCGTTAGAAACGAAGTTATAAAAATAGTAGTGAAAGTAGGAATTATAGTAGAATAGTAGAAGTATTAGTAGTAGTTTCAGTAGTAGATGTAGAACAGATAGTAGCAGTGATAGTAGTACTAATAGTAGAATTGGCTTGTTATTGAAATCCCAGCTGATTTAAATTCCAAGACCTATGCAAGGCTGCTCCTATTGACCCATACGAGGTAATTCCTATTTATATCCATTCAAACTCGATTCATATATGTCTAACCTACGCTTGAAACAATCCAGCAATCCTACGTCTGATACCCGTTTATCTGTTTCATGAATCAACAACCCGGTTTCCAGAACCAGTATTTACCCAGGTCTTTCATGAGGAGCGAGTAGCTCATACCTCATAAGTTTCCACTCACCTGGGCTGTAGGAGGCTCGAACCACGGCCCCCATGCGTGTAAGGCCGAAGCTGCTGATTGATATATAAGGATTAAGCCACCCAAGAGGTGGCACGGGCATGAATAGCCCCGTAACGCCCGTTTTCATTTGATTAAAATGACTATTAACCAATAATTAATTCACGAATTGCATCGTTACAATTGACAGAAGCATTGTTATGCTGTTTTACGAAAGCCTAATGACTTTATTCATCTATAGGTTAGCCATGTTGGCCCTACAGTTACTCCAAACCGTCAAAATACGTCATTTTTCGCGCGGAATCGACCAAAGCGTTACAAATATGACGCATTAGTAACAGTTAAACCATCGTAATATCGACGTTGACAACACATTGGTTATGTTCCTTGAGCGCGTACGTTCCTAGCTAAGCAAAACAGTTGTATTTTTTACGGAGTGGAGGCAGCAGTCAGCGGGCAGTTGAAAGACGCAAGATAACATTACAACGCCTTTATGATGACAGCTTCATCATTGAGTCAATTATTGCCTCAAAGATCATGCTGAATTTGATATCAAACTTGAAGATGAGAGGAAGGAGGATCTAAGCTTAACCTGGCAAGTGCGCAGATCGTCCCTTTTAGCCCTCAAGCGCTCCTCCAAGCTGTGCACAGTGAAAAGGTGTAATTATGTGTCGGGATTTTTAGTACAAGAAGGGCGTGAGATAAATAGGGTTTGATCCTATAAAGATGACCGTTTAGTCCCGGGGCTCGGAGCCTTGCGGCCATTTGTAAACAAGGCCGCTTGTATGTATCTCTTACGGCCAAATTGGCAGTTAAGTCGACAGTCAATAGCCGGATAAAGATAGAATTTCCGATTGGCAGATACGGAAGGAGGGAGGGGAGGAGAGAGGAGTAAAGGGAATGAAGGAAATACAAAAAAAAAATGTATTTACCCTTCACGTTCAGCCATATTTGACTTGAGATCTGGCGGGAAAACCGTATTGAACATCCGTTGAACTTCCCGCGCAGTGATGCCAGCTGCTCATTGGTGGGATTTTAAAACTGGCGGGAAAGTCGGCCTTGTTAGATCTCTACAAGCGCCATGTTTAATTTCTACTTTAAATTAACAAAATCATAGGCTAATCATTATTTTATTGATGTATTTAAAACTAGTGTCAGGATTTCTTTTAATGTGACGCAATAGGACGCGTGTTAATTGTGTAAATTCTTTTATGTGACGCAAATGAGAAGCTGCTTCACTGCCAACAGGAACTAGCAGTTTTTTTTTTATTATTATTATTTTCTACCACAGACGTGGCCACACATTTACAATGCTAACCAGCATATATACATTTTCTACCACAGACGTGGCCAGACATTTACAATGCTAACCAGCATATATACATTTTCTACCACAGACGTGGCCACACATTTACAATGCTAACCAGCATATATACATTTTCTTCTGTCCAACCGTTAAAAAACATATAAATATGTAAAGTAAATCGTTTCTAAATATTTTGAAGTTAGAGAAACTTTGAAAAATATAAAAATCTAGAAGTGTGTCTATGATTGTCTATGTCTACAGTATGTCTGTATGTCTAGCCTGCGCGTGTCTGTATGTCTAGCCTGTGCTTGTCTGTATGTCTAGCCTGTGCTTGTCTGTATGTCTAGCCTGTGCTTGTCTGTATGTCTAGCCTGTGCTTGTCTGTATGTCTAACCTGTGCTTGCCTGTATGTCTAACCTGTGCTTGTCTGTATGTCTAGCCTGTGCTTGTCTGTATGTCTAACCTGTGCTTGTCTGTATGTCTAGCCTGTGCTTGTCTGTATGTCTAGCCTGTGCTTGTCTGTATGTCTAGCCTGTGCTTGTCTGTATGTCTAGCCTGTGCTTGTCTGTATGTCTAACCTGTGCTTGTCTGTATGTCTAGCCTGTGCTTGTCTGTATGTCTAGCCTGTGCTTGTCTGTATGTCTAACCTGTGCTTGTCTGTATGTCTAACCTGTGCTTGTCTGTATGTCTAGCCTGTGCTTGTCTGTATGTCTAGCCTGTGCTTGTCTGTATGTCTAGCCTGTGC